CGGAAGCCAATAGCTTGGACGCGATCGGAAGTAGACTTATCCCCCGATAGTTGTTACAGGAACGACGTGAACCCTTTTTAAAGATAGGGACAACTATCGACTCATTCCATGACGTTGGTACACTCTCTAGTTCCCAAACCTTTGTAAACAACGTCGTCAATTCCTTAGTCAGAAAGTCACCACCATCTTTAAAAAGAGCCGGAGGTAAGTCATCTGGGCCCGGTGATTTGTAACGCTTCAAGAGTTGGAGTTCCTTGCGGACTTCCGCCTCATTTGGTGGATCAGTCGTCACCGGCCATGGAGGGCAGGACAGTCTGACCGATGTTGCCGAAGCAGCAGGCCAGTTGAACTGCCCTTCGAAAAATTCTGCCCATCGTCCAAGACGTCGATGGATGTTAGTGATTGGCATCCCATCATCCTCGCAGATTGTTTCACTCACACCAGACTTCTTGCTGCCAGTGGCTCGGATGAGTTGGAAGAGCTTCCGGATGCAGCTGCTGCTTCCAGCTCATTAGCACGCTCCGACCACCAGGCTTCTCGGTCCTTACGCAAGCTTTGCCCAATTTCCTTACGTAACATCCTTCGTTTGTGGTCAAACTCACGGTCACCCGGAGTAGACCGACGGGCTTCAATGAGTTGTAAGGAACCAGAAGAAACCCAGTGCTTATAAGCGGGACGTTTCGCAAACCCACAACTGACTGTTCCCGCCATTTTCATGGCGTCATGCAATTGCAACCAATGCTCATCTATACTTTTCGGTGGAGTGGTAGCTAGCCTAGAGGCTAGCTCGGTTCGATACTTACTTGCAACAGAAGTTGCAACCAGCTTGCTAACATCAATCCGTTGATGGCGGTCACTTCGTTGTCCACTGAAAAGTAAGGTAAGATTGGCGCAGACCAAGGCATGGTCAGAGTCCAGATAGGTACTCCAAAAGGAGCGGCAGTCTTGTACACAACCACGCCAGCGGTAGCTGATCGCGATGTGATCAATCTGAGTCCAGGCTTGAGATGCAGAGGGAGGACGCCAGGTGGCACATCGGCGATGACTGTGCCGAAAGTTAGTGCTAGCCAGAAACAGGTTGTGGTCTGTGCAAAGTTGCAGTAGACGGTCCCCGTTATCTGACCTGCGACCAACGAGTCCCCATCGGCCACCTAAACGACTCTCTTCTGTGCCTAGACGCCCGACCTGAGCATTCAAGTCTCCGGCTAGTACTACAATATCTGTCGAACGCACTTTCTGGAGAAGAACAGATAACTGGTGGTAAAACTCATCCTTGATTGCATCCGGGCTGCAATCTGTCGGGGCATAGGCGGAGATGACGAAAAGACATCGTTTCTCACGCCGATTTCTTCTCACTTTGATGGAACTTTCTAATCTAACAGCACATAACCGACTGTTAATGGGGATCCAATCGACTAGTGCTGCCTCAGCTCTAGCGCTTAGTGCGACACCAACGCCAGCAAGACCAGACGAAGATGCCACAGGGTCCCCGGATAAGCGCACGTAAAACAAGCTTTTCGAAGCGACAGATGGAGATCGAATTTGTAGTACTTCGCCAGAGTCTTGAATACGGGTCTCGGATAGACAGCAAACATCGATATTAAGACTTTCCAAAGACATAGCCAGCCCTATCTGTTGTCCGACCTGCATAAGTGTGCGAACGTTGAAGGCAGCCAGTTTGAATGGTGCACGTGGTTTCAGAAAAACTGCTTCAGTATTCGTATTTGGTGGTAGCATTCAATTTTCAACCAGTCAGTGACTCGAAAAGGTTTAGATAGAACCGAGTTTCCATCGTAGGCGAGCTGCTGTATAAGTCGAAAAATAAGGATACATAAAGTGGGAATAAAAGAGAGTGAATAAATGACGTAGTAAATAATAATAATAATAATAATAATAATAATAATAATAATAATGTGAATTTTTTAACTGTAAATCGAAGCGAGAATAGAGTTTTCAGTTAATACCATCATTTTCATTATATTTGTGTATGGGCTGTGATACTGCACGGGTGCTCAAACCGAAGCAGGTGGTTTTCTTAGGGGGCCACACCCCGAGTCTTCGACCTGAAGGTCTGATCACAAGGCAGTGGAGCATCGTGAGGAGATGCAGTCCCATGGTAGCCTGTGACCAACGATTGGTTCACACGCCATTTGTTCCCGAAGGACACTGGAGCCCATGTGCGCCATTGATTTGGGATCTTGTTAAAGCGCCGGAGATTCGCTTTCCGTCCTCTCATTTTCGCAAACAACATCCGTGGTGCGAGAAGGCAGTGAGTAGAACTTCCGTGGCAGTGGCTGTGTGCAAGTGGCCATGTGAGAGGATTTCGAGAGGAAGGGTGGGCCGACCCTACTCTCGGCCATACCAGGGCATTTGGTATCGCCCCCAAATGCCACCTAATAATGCTTATTGTCTCTCAACATACATCAACTTGAAGATGTAAGTTTGATGTAACTAGAATTTTGTAAATGTGCTTATGTATTATTCATCAGCTGTACTTATATTATGGTTTGATGCATCATAGAACTAATTAATCTCTTTATGACATTGTTTCTAGAAGACACAGAAATTAAAATATAACAAAGCATTTGATTCTAATGGAAATACAATTAGATTTCCGTGTTCTATAATGCTAATCAGATCGCTACCTACACACTATGGCGTTACTAGAATGTTTAGATATTCACCTGAGTTACGAAATTCCTTTTTTTGATATTTTGTCTATACAGAGATATCCTCCTACACCGTGGTTTGTGGGGTGTTTCGCATACAAGAGTCCCAACTGAGTCGAGACCTGCACATGTGGCTATGTTGGGAGGATTCAACGAAGATGTGGCTTCTATAACTAAAGGTTGTTTTTCAACGTTTCTCTACTTTCTTAATTCGTGTTTGGAAATATATGAGAATCATAAAACGTTTTAGTTAAGGAACTTAAGCGGTAAATTGTGGATTAAAATTCCCCAACAAATCATGGTTAGTCTTGTAAATGTTTGTCGTTCCAGTTATTCTTAAACGTACGTTCTTTAGAACATAGTTTGTGGATGTAGTATTTTTGTTACGTTGATTGATATGTTTAAGGGTTAATTGTTTACGAATGATTGGGCTAAAGGGAGAGATGAGGTGTTGGTAAAATTTAGAAGTGATAAACCTTCAATATTGGTGAAATGTTTGTCCTTAGTTTGTCAATACTCTAATTTCAACTGTAGAAAACAACGTACAATTTTCATATGCCTCAGGTTTGCATACGTTATGAACACTGTTGTAGAGGGGAGATGCATTTAGTTTTAGTTCGGTTGTTCGTCATTGTGGTATGCCCAAGTGGTAGTCTCTCATGAATAGCAAATTATTGTCAAGGTGCTTAAACAAATTGATATTCGAGGGAGAAAAAAATAGCCGACAGAATCCGTTTGAATTTTTATTAAAACATACGCTTCCTTGCACAATATTAAATTCAAAGTAAATGCAACTATTGAGTGAAGTTCACCTTAATTTTAAAAATACAGTTTTTATTAAGAATTAGTTCTAAACACAGTATTCCCAATATTTACGCAAATTAGAAAACTAAATTGCGATGAGTATACTGTCGAAACCAAAGGAAATTATCAAATTTGTCAGAATAATCCTGTTCTCGACTTTTCTCTATAAATATCAATTTATATTTTTAACTGCTTTTAACCTTCAGGATGGAAAATGAATCCTGTGGAATTCGATTCTGTACTAAACCGTTCTTTCCTAGCCTGGATATGGGGTTACAAAGAAGTTGTCATGTCATTTGTTCCTCCTTCTACAAATCATGTTAAAGCCACTCCTTGTCCTGATGAATTAAGTGACCTGGCTAAAACAAATCCTACTGAAATCGATCGATGGGTTGTCAATCAGTTTCTGGTATGTTACTTTTGGATTCTTTTCCCAGTGAATGAAAGGACAGGGTATCCGAACACGTATCAGTTCACTAGACGCTACAGGCTAAATTCTCCACACATAAGTATTCATTAATATGAAGCAATGTGTAACGGCTCTTTTGTGTATTGAGTTTAAGTTTACTGTCTTATTTTTAGCGTTTGTTTTAGCCTCACTAACCAAAATATATCAATCTTTCACTCCTAATCCAATTATTGATTGCGAATTTAAGCTATTTACGGTGGGTGAGAAGCTTTGGGATCAAATGACTACTTTATACTTTAATTCGTATTGTCATTTTATGTAAAGGAGAATTGATGAATAAAGAATTTTGGTTTTTGATTGAGATCATGAACCGATTGATGTTAGACCACCACAATTGAAAACCTGGAAGCACTGGACGGCCGTTTCGTCCTATTGTGGGACTCCTCAGCAGTGCGCATCCACGATCCCGCGAGCGGGATTCGAACCCAGGGCCTTCGGTCTCAAGCGCGAACGCTTAACCAACTGGACCACTGAGCCGGCATCCAATGGTGATAGTTTCTAACATCAACCAATCCACGAAATTGCGCGACCAACTTCCGTTGTACTGAGGTAGATACCTGTCTCTACCCGACAAGGATTAGCTCCACTGGTCACGGCTTCTCACTAGAACTCCGAGAATTCCCTCACGAAGCTAGTCACTAGTGAGCACATGTTGATTTGCGAACGCTTAACCAACTGGACCACTGAGCCGGCATCCAATGGTGATAGTTTCTAACATCAACCAATCCACGAAATTGCGCGACCAACTTCCGTTGTACTGAGAAGCCGTGACCAGTGGAGCTAATCCTTGTCGGGTAGAGACAGGTATCTACCTCAGTACAACGGAAGTTGGTCGCGCAATTTCGTGGATTGGTTGATGTTAGAAACTATCACCATTGGATGCCGGCTCAGTGGTCCAGTTGGTTAAGCGTTCGCGCTTGAGACCGAAGGCCCTGGGTTCGAATCCCGCTCGCGGGATCGTGGATGCGCACTGCTGAGGAGTCCCACAATAGGACGAAACGGCCGTCCAGTGCTTCCAGGTTTTCAATTGTGGTGGTCTAACATCAATCGGTTCATGATCTCAATCAAAAACTTAATAATCTCCACAACCCCTATACCATTTTGGTTTTGTTTGATCATATGATTTAGGTAGAGTATTTCGTTATACATTGACCTAAGAGTTTCATATGTTTCCAGATTATAAGAGAAACCAGGGCTAAAGGATGCGTCAAACGGAGAAGTGAAATAAACGAAATCCTCGTGACCGAAAAATCTGGAGAAAACCCAAGCACTGAACTTAAACTGCCCATATACTGCTAGAAAGTAATAAAAAGGGAACGGTAACAGGAAGTTCTTATCATCAACAAGAAAAGATCAAAGTCCACATAAAAATGTTTTTCTATGAAGTTTGTTTACTTGAATATTTTGGATTAGATCTAATGGTCAAATAATTAGCGGACTCATTAGAAGCATGAAATATATAAAGTCCAAAATACACCGGTGCATGGTGATAAAAGTAGTTATGCTCTGCATTGCTGTTTTGCAGTATTACAGAATATTTTCATGATATCTTGAAATAGTATGAGATCTAATCTAGGTAGACTGATCATAGCGTACTACATCGCTTGTAGTTGACATGTCTTTATTTCCCACTTAATCGTAGACAGTCGTAAGCGTACAAACGAGTATTTAGTTCTTGTCTATGTGTTTTCTCAGTTTTTATGTCTGTTTCAATGTGTGTTCATAGTCGAACAGTCACAGTTTAAGACTTTCCGCTCATTTATTGCAAAATATATCCAGTTTAAACAGCTACAAATATTTTGTATATATTTGTAGGATTTTGTTGATTATTCGGGTGACTTTTTTGATAACCTTAATGCAACATCTAGTGACTACCGTCAAGGTCGAATGATATTCTTACACTTGGATGCAGCTGATATGGTTGGTCATTCTTTTAAACCTGATTCACATGAGTACACTGAAGTTCTTCGTAATTTGGACAATGTAGTCTTTCAAGTTTATCACAAGTTAACTGCAAAGTCTCGTGGAACTGATTCACGTATTGCTTATATCTTAACTTCTGATCATGGAATGACTGAATGGGGTTAGTAGTGATGATTTAGTTTTTTGGTTAGTCAATAAATGTAATAATATAAGTCAGACGCTTTGTAGTTCGATCTTTAAGGTGGTGAAAACAGTATATAACACTGCCACAAGGATGTGCTAGACTTCATATATATAGTAAAAGACTAGAAGGGTTAAAAGGTGGAGAGAATTCGGGAAGCGAGATATATAAGGATTACCAAATATTCCCTATTTATGACGTGATAGATAAGTGTTTCCTCCCAATTGCTACTGTTTGTGTTATATCGTTTTAAGCATCTGGCAACTGATTTTAATGGTTTCTAATATCCTAACCCGTAAATTTTGCAGTTCATAATGTGGCTGTGACTATGCATCAAAGTTTTCACTGTCCAGTACTATGCTGTTTTATGACCACTTTAAAGTTTGTTTCATTCTCCTTTCAATCAGCTTACTTTAACGCATAGCGATACAAAATGGACTTAAACATGCCTCGGTACTTCAATAGATGCTAGTTTACGGTCTCATTTATGTGATTCTTGCTATTTACCTAACACTCTGGAAATCTTTAAAAGTCAAAGTTACCAAGTGTGGAAATAAGAGTTTACTTGAACATCACTATTTGCATGAATAACTAGTCTGCGGAGGTTGACAGCAAATACTTTAGGTTTGTTGATATTTATTGAAAAAATGTAAAATTTTCCTCAATAATAATAATATAAATTCATTACCTGCTTGTATATATTGTCACCCTGAACGATTCGGATATGATGAAATGCTTGTAATTGTTACAATGTTTAGTTAATTATTGAAAATCATGATTAATTTCTCAAGTTAATTTATAGGCGGCAAAAATTACGAACTTGGGACAACAAAGTTTTAATATTTTGAGGAGTCATCAGACTTTTTAATAATTAGTGTTTAAGTTTAGTGGATCTCGATATCCTCATTCTGTATTCTATCATTTTAAATAAGACAGTGATTAATAAATATACAATGCATAAAATCTGGCTGGTCAGTGCCATAACCTTAATCACCATGTCTATTTTTTCAGGTTCGATCACCTGCCAACTATCTCTTGAACTAAGATTGAAAGTTTTTCAGTTTCTTTTAGCTAACATAATGGTAATCTTGATTTTACATGCCTACCTTCTATTAAACATCCAATGTGTTATTATTCCACAATTTCTTCATGGAGTCGCTAAATAACGTTAGTTATCTTTTTTATCATTGTGGAATTTTCAAGTGTATTTTGGAAGCGTTAGCTAACTGATGTACGCAAATATTTCACACACATTTAATATGAGCGACATGTTACTAAATAAAAAATGATATTTTTCTTCGTGATTATTTTCATTTCACAGGAAGTCATGGGGCCGGTTCTTTTCATGAAACAGTAACACCCTTGTTAATCTGGGGTTCTGGTATTGTTGGTCCAGTGGAAATAGAGACCAATGTGAATGATTTATCGGAGGATAAAATAGACATGTATGGTTTACCAGTACATAACTATGGACGTCTTCGACGTGAAATTCAACAGGCTGATTTATGCCCATTAATGGCTAGTCTTTTGGGTATCCCAATCCCAGTCAATTCTATAGTAGGTCAATCAAAAGAGTTAATGACATTTTACGTGCGTTCTAGTTTATAGCTTGCTGAAACATGTACGTGTAATAAGCTAAACTATGATTTTCCTCCTTTAAATGGTTTAATTATTACACTTTTTGTGTGTGTCTTCCAGATGACCTTTTATTGATATTGCTTAATTTCTAAAATTTTTATCTTTCGCTCTTAGGGTCAAGTTCCTGTTGAATTTTTGAAGATTCCTGAATATGATAAAGCGAAGCTAACACGTGCGAACTGGCTTCAAATATATGGGCAACTTAAGGTACCTTTTTTAAGAATTTCACAAATTGTTAACATTTCTTGTCTAAACCTCATAGTATTTAGTTTCTTATGCTAAGATGAATTCTACGAGTTTTGAGTCTCCCCATTACATTGCTTTAAACTAGTAGATTTCGAAGGTATTAACACTCCGCCGTGTATCAAAGAGATATCTTAAAAAAGCAGTACTCAAAGTTTTTGTTCCGTTTAGTCGAAGGCGTCTTGGAACGTGATCATAGAAACGAACATAGGCCTTTACTTGTGTTCCATCGATGTAACTGATGTAGAAGATACATGTTAATTTATGCATTTAGTCGACGGTAATATGAAAAGAATACCTATCAATCTTTAATTACGTTACAGAACATTTTATTTCATACAAGGTAACCAGTTTGGCTGCAGGACACCTTATTCTTCTACTTTAAGCACTAGACACCTATCTTAATTTTTTAATCTTCTCGTAAAAACCATTGCCAAGTAAATATAATGAACACGAATTTTGTAGTAATATAAGCTAATTGAATGTATGTTTTATAAGTGTATCCCCAATTAAGATTTTTATCATCATTTGTCCTCTTCTTTCTCTAATAATGGTTTTGTTATATTAATTTATTTATTGTCTCCCTTGGAGCTCATATTTTGATACGTTTGTGCCTTATTAAATTCGAAACAGAAATATCTGCATATTTTTATGAATTATCACAGATTAAGTACTCTGAAAAAAAGAAATCTCACTTCAGTATTTTGTTCCGAGAATTCCCGTAAGTATCTGTTTATATATGCCGTTTTGTTTAGTCAGTTATATAAAAGCTTCTCCGTTTTATTAAATCGAAAATGGTAACTTTTGTTTTATCAATGCACTTCATTCATTCACTTAACTTGGTTGGTCTGCTTTTCATCATAGATGAATGGTTTTGATAATTTCCAACGATTTTACATGAAATCAGTGTATACGGTTGATGATTGGAAGTAGGACTCGTGTAACAATAATTTAGTGATTTAACTACTCAAATTTCAATCATCACTTTCCAGTTTCTAAATCTATAGCGGTAAAAACAAACAGACAAATCTTTATTCCTTATTCTTAAAGTGTGACATAACCGATTACACTAATTTTATGCATCAACTCTGTACATCTTTATGCAGTTACAATGATGTTAATATCCGTTATACTCATGTTTTGTTGAGATTCTAAGCCTCGAAAATCTTGTTGTTTTTTAGTGTCGTGCTGTTATTTATTTTATATTAGGTTTTTAAACTGTAGTTAGCCTAAGAGTTGATAGTTTTGAAATATAACCTGTGATGGTGTGAAGAGCTTCTGTCCTTATTACTTTACGGTTATGTAACAACAATTGAAGTCGATGAACATCCAAAGTTTATTGTTTCTAGTCAGAAATATCCTTCAAGCATCGCTTAAGTGCAGTGAAACCACTGAGTGAGCAATGCATATATCAAGTGAGTGTACTAGGAAATAAATCTAAGAAAATTGTTATGTACAAAATTCACTTTCTCGACTTCAAAACTGATGGCCAAATGACTTAATTATCTTAAAAATAGATTCATTCTTCATCTTTTTATTTTTCCTTTGAATCTTGAAAATCATGATATCTTTTGTCTTATACTTCTTATTATTACGTGTTTTGTTCCGCAATCGAACCACCATTTTTATTTTTGATACTCTTATCATTTTCATTTTTCATAAATGGATACTGGTGCTTTAGTATGATTATCACTTCGTTACAAACGGATAATAGGTCGTATATCATTCCTGTATGTCTCTATCTAGATTTAGGGTCAAAAAACATCTACTACTTTCTTGTTACAGTGTTTTTTCATGGCTAATGATACTGCCTAGTTGCCGAAACACGACTAAGTGAAGTGCGGTTCAAATCTACGACCTATTGGTTGAAAACTAAGTGTGTTAATCACAAAGCCACTGCTGTACTGAAGAGAAATCAAAGAAACTATGAATCCCGTTAAGTAGAATTAACTTCTTACATTTCTCAAGTAAGATAATTATGTATTTATTTATTTGAACACATAAATACTGGTACAAGGGGGCACCAGATACATGTGCGCTACACAACTCTCATTTGATTTGTATGAGGGCTGTGATACTGCACGGGTGCTCAAACCGAAGCAGGTGGTTTTCTTAGGGGGCCACATCCCGAGTCTTCGACCTGAAGGTCTGATCACAAGGCAGTGGAGCATCGTGAGGAGATGCAGTCCCATGGTAGCCTGTGACCAACGATTGGTTCATACGCCATTTGTTCCCGAAGGACACTGGAGCCCATGTGCGCCATTGATTTGGGATCTTGTTAAAGCGCCGGAGATTCGCTTTCCGTCCTCTCATTTTCGCAAACAACATCCGTGGTGCGAGAAGGCAGTGAGTAGAACTTCCGTGGCAGTGGCTGTGTGCAAGTGGTCATATGAGAGCATTTCGAGAGGGTGAGCGGACTCTCCTCACTCTCGGCCGTACCAGGGCCTTTGTGGGTTGTACATTAATAATCACAATAACTCATCTCTAACACTAAAGTCATCTGTTCAAATTACATATTGCCCTTAATTTGGATTTCTTTATTTCTCCACACACAGATCTTTAAAAATGTCGGATATTAATAATATGGAAAATGTTTGTGAATCTCTTATTTCTTCTGGAAAATATCATGAAGCAGTAAGTTGATAGAAAATTCTCATTGTATTAACATAATGAATAACTTTGTTTCTAGATTCAAAAGTACAAACACTTAACCAGTTTGGCTTTAAACGGACTGAACTATTATCATAAATATGATAGATTATACTTAGGGTAAGTATTTTTTGTTTTTGTTTTATGTGTTTCATGGACACTTTTTGTAACTTGCCTTTTAATGATAAACAAAAGGTCTCTAGGAAGCTCTATCAGTGAATTCTGCACTGATGAACAACTTTACGACGGGTTTCCTGAACTCCTAATTGGAAGCTACGACTTCTGGTATCGACCAAATGGACACTGAGATATTCAATTATGATCGAAGCTGGATGGTAGTCGTACTATACCGCTTATAAATAGTAGTTGGAAATATGGCTTATGGGAAATCGATCATTTTTTACTCATTTGAAAACCTTTTATTCGATCCTATGTTATATCATGTTCGTGGAGTCATTTATTAAGTTATAATCAACAAATAAACGAGAGGAGTAACGAGTGTTTAAATAGTAGTAATATCGTTAATATTGGAAAAGTTTAACCATTGGTTAGTATGGTACAAGAAGAAGTGATGAATTTAGAGGATACAATGTATGAGATATTATTGAAACCTAAAACCTAACGGAAGATGGAGAGTGAGTGAATTTGCTCCACTGTAATCGATTCTAAGCAGTCAGTACGTCAGTCATTCAGAGTAGAAACTGTACTTATTTACATAGATTCAAGTTGCCATACCCTTTAGCACAGAGAAATCAAGCTGTCAGGCTAAATCTCAGTGGTAGAGGTAGGAACAGAATCAGTGGTAATAGGGAAGATTAGGCATCGTAGATACGACTCAAAAAGCAAATATAAATTAGCGAAATAAAGACATAAAAGTTGCAAGGAATCTAGAATCTCAGGATTTGAGAGGGGACGAAATATGGATTCACTTGCGCTATTGCAAAGGATTTTGAGCCATGTCATTTGAAGTTTCGAACCATTGATTACGATAATCACGCGGATCCTAAACAGATAGTCTGTAGCTCTTAAAATGGTTCAGTCCAATTGTCATTGACTTCATAGACCGGTGGCATATCTTGGTCTAACCGCCCCTAAACTTCTTCCAACCTGCTCCTACACCACACAACATCGACCGTCGATGTAGGCGGTGGTTGGGCATACGTAACACATGTCACAACCACCTCGGTTGATGAAGATTTAATACCTCATCAATTGATTTCCCATCTTTACCTAGTACTCTATCTCTAACCCAGACATCGCTTACTCCGTGGTCACAAAATACATAAGCAATGGTTTGGAGACACCGATGATCAAATATCGGTAACCTACGAATATCCTCTACTATTAATTGTCAAGTTTCACACCCTTAAATTAGAACGGAGCGAATTACTGCAAGGTAAACTCGCCCTTTGGTTGGAAGACGAAGATCTTACCTTCGCCACTATTGGCGCACGTTCGCTAAAACCAATCGAACCTTCTAAATCCATGCCGAAAGTTCACCAGACACCAGCACATCAGTAGTGATGAGACTCTCAATATAAGTGAAGCGGTTGACCCACTCAACTACCTCACTCCTTATCACTAATCCAGGTGATGACGCAAGTCAATCCTGAAATTACATCTTACATTTGGAGGGAGAGAATTTCATCCCATACATGTGTGCATTGTTCCTTAAAGTATCCAAAAGACTACGTTTTGTCAGTGTCTTCACCAAGCACAGCTACGCCATTTGCGTATTCTAAGTCAACAAGTGAATCTCCTGGTAGAAGATCAGTACCTGAAAAGTCAGATGATGAAAGTGTTATCTCTAAAAGCATGTCTGTGACAAAGTTAAATAAAAGTAGGGAAAATGGACAACCCTGAAAAACATCACCTGAAGTAACCAATTTCGATGAGAGTTCGCCATAACCTCTGAGTCGACCGGTAGTGTTTGAGTAGAGAGCCTGTACAAGGTTAGTGTACTTCTTTGGTACGTTTTTTAATGACAGACATTACCACAGAACTTCATGATCAACAGATTCGAACGATGCCTTAAAGTCAAGGAATACAATATAGTAGGATGTCGAAAAGTATGTCTATGTTCCAGAATCTGCTGAAGGGAGAATATTTGGTCTATGCATCCACCTTCAGATCTGAAACCAGCCTGGTTTCCTCGGATTTGCTCTTCATGAACTCTAGTTAGACGAAGTATTATCGAAGCTAATATTTTAGACGCTATATTAGTTAAACTGATTCCTCTGTGATTATCACAACAGGATTTTTGTCCTTTCTCATAAACTGGAAAGACCAGTGATCGAGACCAGTCAGATGGGACTACGTTCATTTTCCAGATTTTAGCTAATACCTCAGTTAATCTGACTGCTAAGACTAAACAACCATCCTTAAAAATCTTAGGGACTAGTCCATCAGGCCCTGCTTCTCGCTTTTGATTACTTATATCTTTTCAACTTCACTAAGAGCTAGAGGATTTGCATCAGTTTACCATTCAGGTTGCTTGAAGATAGTGGGTAAATAAATGTGTCTGTACGCCAGTTGGACTGTTCCCTAAAGTTTTCTACCCATTGGTTGAATATTCTGAATTGAAATAGTTGGATAGATAGATAGTTACACTAACAGATGGATTTTAAATACCTGTTTCCTTGATAAGTCTGAACAGTTGTCTGCTGTTACATATCGCTGCTACCTTTTCTATCTCTCTTGCCTTCACTACCTACAACTGCTCGCGTTCATTACGTAGGCTTTTGACCAGTCTAATTTTAAGCTGCTTCCACCCAGACAGGATGAGTTTTCGCGAATCTATTAGTTCTATAGACGCCACTGAAATCCACTGATGTTTCCTAACCTTTTTTTAAGTTACTAATAGATACCACTGCTGTTTCCACAGCTTTTTGAATATCATACCAAGCTACCTCATGGTGTAAATCACTTCCACGGTTGACTAACCCCTCTAGTTATTCTTGAAATATATTCTTAATTTTTTCATCATTTAGTTGGACTCTAATGGATTTTCTTGCTGTGGCGTTTCTATGTCCGGTAAGAAGCAGACAAATACGTGCTCAAACGCGAACATGATCCGAGTCTAAGCATATGCTCCAGAATGAATGACAGCCTTCTATCAAGCGCTTCCAACGATAGCTTACGGCAATGTGACCTACCGGAGTCCATTGATGAGTCGATGGCGAAGGTCACCACGTGAGACGATGCTTCTCCTTACGTTTTTGAAATTCTTATTTGCCAGAGATAGACGGTTATCTGGGCACAGTTACAACAGACGGTTGACATTATCTGTTCGCTGAGCCGCAACACCTTAAGGTCCGCCTAACTACCTTTTGGTTCGGTTTAGTTTATCTAATTGAGCACTGAAATCACTTGCTACTATTACTACATCATGACGTTTAGCTTTTTGAAGGGAGCTGGATAGCTTCCTTTAAAATTTATCTTTAACTTCATCCGAGCTGCAACCAATGGAAGCGTAAGCAGAGACAACAAAAAAGCAACGATGTGTATTCCTATCTTTTCGAGTTTTTGCTGCCCGTTTAATTGGACAACGCACAAGCGAATATCTATTGGAATCCGGTCTAGGAGATCCTGTTCTGTTTTAGAACTTAATGCTATATCTTCACCTGCGAGGTTTCGGAAAATGGCAGTGGGGTTTCTTGATAACTCGGAGGGTAAATTGTGCCGGTTGCTTTTATTGATAAAGTGCAGTCAAATCAATGACCTTACTTGGATCCTGTAAGCACGTTTCAGCGCTGCAACACACGTCGATGGTGCGAGATTCTAGATTCCTAGTTAAAGAAGCTTGTTGTCCTATCTAATACAAGGTTCGAACATTAAAAGCTTCAACATTTAGTGTGGAACGTGAATTCAGGAGACTAAGAGTAGCACTTCATGAACTCAAATCATTAGCATTTGTGGCGCGTGTTGTTAAAGATAAATGAGAAAAGTTGGTCCTGAGGTTGGAAGAATTGTTAAGAGGTGAGGCAGTGATGCAATCGTCAGCAAGATGATCTCGGGTGCTGGTAGAGGTATGAGGGTGGTTGTCACTTCCTGGTTGCCCACACCATGGAACGATATTTCTTCTTGAGGGGCCTGAAAATGAAGCTGAATTAGTGGTGGTCTTAGTGACTTGGAAGTGTGACCGTAGAACCCAAGGGACAACTGTTTGAGATCGGTCGTGCACGACCTTTTTATTTGAAGTTTTTAACGAGTTGGCTCCATACTTTAAAAGGCCTTACCACCAGAGATGGAATTCTGTGGGATAAGGCGAAGTGTACATTTTTAGGGTCGACCTTTTCTAGCCCCACCCTTCTTTTGTGGGAACGCAGCATCACTGTTGTGCTAGTTATCTATGGGAAACACCTTACTTACTCCAACCGACCTCCCTGGCATAGTAGGACCTAAAAAAACATGTGTTCCGGCCAATATAGCTTGGTTATGTCATCGCGACCACTACGTCAAGGTAGCACCTATTGTTGGGGTTTCCAAGCAGTATTTCTTGACGTATCCAACCACTCAGTGTGGTTATCACCCCAAATAAATACACCCTGCACCTATCGGCATGACTCATTCCAACAGTCATTGCGTTTATAAACTGATAATGTCACGATTCGAGTCCTCTAACTTTCGTCTAAACTATTCCTACTCCAGCCAACATTGCGCCTATAGATAGAATGTAACTGACCATCCATAACCCTGGTATGTAGCCCTAAACTAAAACGTCACTGTACAATTTGTACGATATTAAGTAGCTGATACATGGTGGTGAAAGTGAAGTATGATTGATCACTGAGTTTGGGAAAACAGTCACTTAGCCTACTGACTATTAAATATTTAATTTCCCTTACTGTCATTGATTTCTACTCCAAACTCACCGAGATTGATTGTTTGTAATTGTGTTTTAAAAAATATTATGTAAACTATATTCTAATTCTCTACTCTGTATCATGAATCTTGGATCTGATATAACGTGGCTAGTCGTATTAACATATTATCAAAGTATCCCTAAGAGCGAGAAAATATCTTAAACTATCCGTTATATTAGTAGCCTCGATTTTCCAAATTCACCATGACTAGACTGATACTTAGTTGAAGTTCTTGGTTGAGTCACAGTATTAAATCTGTATCTGTCTACTTCAGTTTGATCGGTTGAATAGTATCAGTAATCATTCACACAAATATCTTCATCTTAAAACAAAGTACATGTATCTGGTCTTGATTACTGAGTTCCGTCAATTATTTAATTAACTAATTTGATTTGTTAAAAAATTCAGTGTTTAAACTGTACTAGCTTGTAATTCATTTTAGTTCATTTCGAAATTATTTATGTTTCCTTTTTAATGTAGATTTTGTGTATCATCAACATTCTGCTTATGGAGTCTAGTGATACTTTGTCGTTTATTTAATCGAAGTGATCATGTAGAGTGTAGAAACTATCCAAGTTATTTAAATAGTTTCTATTGGACGTTGATTAATTGTATTGTGATTGGATTCGGCCTATTAGTTTTAACTTTTGGTTAGTTGTATTATACACTTGTATTTTGTTGTTCTTCAACTTAATAATTCCTAAAATCATTACCACATGTAATTGGTGTAGAATCAAAATAATAATTTCAGTAAATGCTGTAGTCTAAGTGGAACAATCAGATAGGATAAATTTGATATTTTATTAAACCTATTGTTAAGTGTGTTTCAATGTTATTGAATAAAAAGTGTATCAAACTTTGAGCTCATAGAAAGCGTTTAAATCAGACATTAGTAATTTTGGTTTAGTTGATGAGATAGAAATCTCTCTACTTTAAAACTTGTTTGATGTTGCCATGTTCTTTGAATAATGGTTTATCTTATTGTTAGATTCATCATTCCAAATTATTCAATCGCTTTCCCAATATAGTTAGTTTTATGTTAATGAAAATGATTTATACTTTCATTGAATAATGATTTTTGCACTTAAAAAAGGATTGTATTCTAATATTGATGTGGCTCAAGACGACATAATATGCAGGAGTAACAATCGTATATCGTTGTTGAATCTTGTTATTTAATCTAATCCCTTGAGTCATATCATAACTATATTCCAATCACACAATTTACTGTTTATTTTATAATCACTATTTTAAAAATTCTCCATCATTTTTAGCTAATTCTTGGTCATTGGGACCTACTGTATATCAGCTGGTTCCACTCATTCTAGTGTTATCATTAAACTATTCAAGAACTCGACGAAAACAACTATTAACCATGATTAATTATTTATGGAATGGATTGTTCGCGAAAGACTATAGAGTTTCATCTCTTTATACTATTTGTTCAATTACATTTGCTTCTATTTGTTTACTTGAAATGCTTGTGAGTTTTAAACCTTGTTTGTATATGAATTTTTCTACAAGATATTAAGTATTTGAAATGTTTTAGCTGAAATCTTTTTGTTTATTATGGAATATGTAATTCGTATTTTAAATAGTCACTGAGTAGCCAGTTTTATTTGATTTGTTAGGACAAGATACTATATCTACCTAACATATATTCATGATGTGAGCATCGGTGACATATTTTATGATTGTTGAAGGTAAATTTCATGAAGAGTAGTATGTAGAACCACCAACACTACTACAAATCATTCAGTAATTTGGTAGACCATTATCGACTAGCGTTATGAAAGTACACATTATATGTTCTCAGTTCACACTTAGTACTTTAGTATAATGTTAGCATAGTATAAGTTAATCAGACTAAAATTTGGCACTTACGCATTAAGCTCTTTACTACCTATTATCTAGTTGATTTCAATCTTGATTGTGACTAGCAATGTAATTGAGGATACGTGTTTCATGTTAACACGTGGGATTGAGGCACACACTCAGGATGCACATAATACCAACAGTGATTTTATCATATGCAATCCTGAATATCAAGAAAGGAAGAGTTACAAACCTGTTCTAATACTGATCACTCAATCTATATATATTTCATGATAATTCTTTGCCTTTTCTTCAACATCGTTATAAAATGTGGCAAAAGCTTATTCTATTTCTCTATCATTTCTAAGTTTGATACGGCCTTAGTCCCGTGGAATCTAAAGTTACGACTATCGAAAGTTACACCACGTACTAACAAAATAAACAAACTACATAATACTAGTCTCTTGTTTTCTTCTCTCTTTGTACGTATTGCTTCTTGCGAAAATTGGACTAATATCCATGGTAATATACTAACTGAACATTGTTTTCGGAAAATTCCAACGGATTAGACCGAACCCATAGTTAGTTATTGATTTTGGCATTTTATTTTTTACTAAAACATAGATGTTTGAATTTAAGTATAAACATAGTGTAAATTGGAAATTATGTCTTCATTGGACTTTGGACCTTTTTGTTTGTTCGAGGTTCAGGAGCGTATAAATGATTCTGATTCTCCACACCACTAGCTTTCTGCACTTGTCCCTCATTCTGCGAGATAAGTTCGTTTGTGGGATTCATGAGGTACTTTTCATTGCCTCAGTGATTAATTAATTTACATTACTGAATACCTACATAGATATAGTTCCTTTTTTTCTAATATTGTTCAGTAGAATAAAACAGATTAAAACGTTAATAATCTTATTAGTATCTAATGGTTGACATCAGAACAATTCTTTTTCCTCCTAGTTACTTACGTTTTTTCTCCAAATCTTAGCAGTCTACATGATATTAAATATTTGATGATTATCTTCTTCTGTTTTTGTCTCTTTTTCCTACTTCAAAACAGATCTGGGGATTTTTTCATCGTTATCTACTATCTTTGGCATGTTTATTGTTTGCTTTATGGCCTTACATAGATGACTCGTTTAGACCACATGAAAAGGTAAACAATTGTAGGCATTATTAATCCACTGATTTATAATTATTCATACATTAATGTCGGTCAATTCGAATCAACTTGATAGGAGTGATATGTCAATTCAAAAGGGTTATTATTTCGCAAGTCATCATCGTAATTAGTAAGTAGATTGTTCAAGACGAGTCTAGTAAAAGTTTGATAATTCTACGATTTCAGACTCATACCATTTTGTTTATGATCTGGTTTCGTTCGATGTCCTAGAGATTTTACTAAGTCCAGTCATTGCTTACGAACGTATGACATGCTTTGTCAGTACTAAAAATCACATTGTTTTCCAATTCTTCTTCAGTAACCAGATTCACTAGAATGCTTTTGAAAGTAGTACTATGATGTTTTATCATATTATCTATGTTTGTTTTAGTTCACAGAAAGAATATTGAACTAGAGTATATATTTCTGCCAATAAAATTTAACAAGTAAACAATGCAAACAAGTGATTAATGCAGTTTTCTTTTGGAAAAAGTCAATAGTTTTCTATTTGCTCACACTTGATATTGATTATTATTATTGTTATTACGCGTTTGAATTTTTATTTTTCTCTAACACAGTCAATTCTTTCTTTGTGGCACATTTCGTGTTGTGGTTTGGGTATATTTCCTCTATTACCTGCTATTGGATCAAACATGTGTCCAACAATTGTGTAAGTATACATATACCTAATGTTAGTGAAAATCATAATAACAATGATTAGAAATTTCTAGGTAATTTGCATTATGAAATGATGTTAACTGCATAGTCTTAAAAAGAAAGAGAGTACTAGACAGCTGTTTCGGCCTAGTTCAGGACTCAGCTGCGGAAAGCCATGACTGAAAACAGGACCTATAACCTGCAAATCTTACATAGTGAACTTTATAACACTCAGTTATTAAGATGAAGTTCAGTCACTAAAAGTTATGTTTGTAAAAGTGTCATCGATTGTAATTGAAATAAATCTGAAGTCCTTCTCGGCAGTCTGGCCCAAGCTTTTTTGGGGGAAATCATCAAACATCAAATTTATCGTATATAAATACATGGTACAATAACTAATTGTGTATCAAACAAACCGTCCAACTACGTTAACGATTCTGATTTCATCGCTTGACACTGAATCAGAAGAATATGATTCACCTTTATTAATATTTGGAGCTGTAGCTTTTGTTGTCATTGATTCTGTATGTGAAACAGTTGAAAAGCAATCGCCCACGTTGTTTTTTATATATGACAAAGTTTATTTAAACGATCAAAGCTCCTAGGCCAGTCTAATCGTGATCATAATCCTTACTTAGTAGGTGATTTCGAGGCGTTGGCTGCATATAACGTCAATCATGAAAATGGAACTGGGACGCATTTTGAAGAGAGCAGTTGTCTAGAGTGCTACTTTTTTCAGTAGTAGGTCGAAAATATGCCCCTTCCCCGACTTTCGAGCGCCTCAGGTACTAATGGTATCTACAAGTTGAACAAAGTTCATGTCTCTCCGTACAAGATGGCAAAATTAAATGTCCCTATGTCAGTAGCATTTGAATTTCTGGTCAGACAAACCTCTGAGCTGATTGGTGAGTTCTTAGTCCTCTTCAGAGACATCGTTTTGGGAGATATTCTTCCCATAATCCATGCACCATCTACCTAATTCCCGAAATGGCTGTTACAACTTGTGACCTGTGCCCCCCGTTAATGTATAACGTAACGATGCGGCGAATTCGGGAGCAGAGAATTATAAATCGGAGCAATGACGCGTAAAACCCGTGCGAGCAGTCTAGAGTCTCTATTGGTCCTGCTTCCTGCCTAGCCCAGCCAGTTAAGTCCAGAACACAAATCTCAGCCTCTGCGATATGAATCATTCACTTCAAGCATACGCGGTTTATATACCAATCAAACAGACCACATCGTACCAATAAAATAGGAAACAACATTTGTACAAGATTTGGCCAAATGTGGGAGGTAGTAATCAATAGACAGGGCATAATTCAAGAATGGTAAATCGTATAATAATAGTTCATAGGTCAAAATAAAGCTTATGATAAGAAAAATACGAATGTGAATAGTTTAGTTATTTAACAATTATACGATAAAAATAAATGCATAGCACTGGTCCATAAATTGATCCAAAAAGTTACCATTCATTATGCTTATCGGGACATAACACTGGCGTAATATATTATGTCGAATATCCATTATATGGGATGTTCTTCGGTGGATACATTTATCGCGTTTAATTGATAAGTTACCTGTACAATATCTCATTTGAAACATTTTGACTGTTTTTCTACCTGAATGGTAAATGTAAACTTACTTTAGTGAGATAAATTTGTGTAGATTCAAATCCCGTGTATGTGCTATTGACGAGGACAATCCGGTATTTTTCACAAAACATCAGACGAATTAGAAGTAGTAAAATGAAATCCAGATTCACCTAGTAATTTATTAGTTGGCATGATACAGCTAAGTGTACTATATCTCTTCTGTGTATATTTTTTCAGTTTTCTCTTGTATGTCGAACTTCAGCTGTCATTCTTTATTTGTATGAACCGAAACCTGTCAGAAGGATTATTGCTCCATTGTAGTCAATTTTATGTCCAGATCCTATTGAATGTTATGCCGTGGTTGACTTGTTTTAAAACTTTTTTGAGGTCCTCTGAGGATTTAGGAATATGCTTTAAACAAAGTATGTTCTTTCACCCTCATATTCATCTGCAGTAATATTACACCCATATATATGGCACTGTTCGTTCTGGATAATACTCTTTCATTGTTATGGCTTAGGATCCTTCTGATTCCTCTCGAAGTTTCTTTGTGTTATTGGATCGCCATCAGGTGAATCCATTCTTTTGATTTCTTTTTCCTTTTATAATTTTCACTTTCCTTCTTAATGATTTTTTCTAAAATGTTCCTGGAAAAATGATTTATCATCAGATTGGACATTAATAAGCTCAACCTATTTTCCTTATCTATCGGTTCTGTGACGAGTTTTTAAACTCTGTTTATCAGACTGTCACCTTTGTAGGTAAATGAATTGCTCACAACACAACCTAACTTATCAATCTAAAATTGTTTAAAACATAAGTCTATATCTACTAGAAAACAGAAAGTATCAAATAGCTACTTTTCATTCTTTGTTAAACTTCTGACAAGTTTTGAAATTTACAGAGGTTGAGAATCACTCACTCAGTGATTGCATACATTCTATCACTCTAGATAACCATTTTGTCGCAGTATGGTACTGTTTGCAGTACTTATTCACAACTCTATCAAGGACTGAACACACGATTTTCAAACTACTTAATTGGTACCCAAAGCCTCAATTCGTGCTATTTCATGACTATTTTTAATAGATCTTAGTGACACATATCGCGCCAGACATGGAGGGACCTCACTGGTCACATCTTCAGTTGTATTGTAATAGAATGGAGCTTAATTTGTTTGTGTGATGAACTACTGTCTAACGTATAGTTGATGTACTATTTAATATGAATGAAAAGTGGGAATTTTGTAAATGATCAACTTATTGCAAAATTTCCAATTTTGAATTGAAACCAGTGCAGTTCAACCATGTCAAGTATGATAGAGGCATAACAGATGATAGCCAATGATGATTGCAAAGTATAACGAAATGACTGAAGTTAACGATATAAAACGTCAGATGCCACGTCAACTGTATTAAAGTTAGAAATTCATCAGTAGGCCTACATGTCTTAAGTTCTGTCCTTGATGGGGTCGTGAATACAACATGCAGTGAAGTCATAAATACGAACTAGATGCCCATCCGTGCTTGGTTTTCAATGCTCAGGTAACTAAATTTTAGCTTGTAATGCGGATCTCTAAATTTAACAAAAAAAACGCAACCCCGCCTTTACTAGTAATCTCATACTTGTATGTATCATTAATTGAATTCGACTTGATAGCTTTTATTTATTTGTATTAATGATAATGATAATAGCGATATGTAAAATAGCACATTAACAAATGCCAATTAATGTTATTTAGACTTATTTTTGTCATTCACTGATTTTGGGAAACTGATTGTCATGTTTTGGGTATGTTAATTGTTCAAAACGTTCATTGTTGATTCGTTGACTGTAAACGTTATTAAGCTGGAAACCTGGGTTTTGTATTGTCAATCGTTGGAGAGTAACCCAAAGTAAAGGAATCAACGCTTTCGTATCAAATGAGTGTATTAATGGCTCAGTGAGGGAGGAACAAAACTGTGAATAGTTGTTGATAACAAGCGTAAACGTGGAGAAGAACACTGTAGTTCTGTTAGCAAAATCTCATTTGAAATTTAAAGTAAAGTAGTGTAATCTACCATTTTGACAGTTTGGTTTTTTATCATTTTTTTAAATATCAGTGCCCACTATATGAGAGGTATAGTTGTAACTGTTTTATCATATATAAAATATATTCCCATTTTTTTAGATTTATAACTGGTCTTATTCTTACACCAATGTCAATTATATCCTTTCGGTTTGTATCAAGTTCTCAAAATCATCTTTTTATATGGCTTGGTTATCTATTCGTAAGTGTAACCTTTGTTTGCCATTTGCTATGTCTTAGACAGAATATTGTGAACAGCCAAAAGTGCTTACACTATCCTGTACAAATGTTAGTGTTAAACTAGTGGTAATTTTTTTATTTATTTGATTCACATAAATATTGGTACAACTGGGCAGGAAATTAAATATTCACCGTATAACTAAGGAAACGAACATGTGTGTAGATAAATGAAGGCGTGCACAGAAAAATTTAAAGAAATTATTGAACCAGTGTTGTAGGTAGTGGTATTCCATTTTAAACTTCAGTTATCATTCTTAACATTTAGATCATCAGTTCACCAACAAAAATTATTTCACCAAGTCTGATGAACATTAATCAGTCAATCATTTATCTTATCTACTTCAGATGGCGAGACTATAGTTTATGGACGAACTAATCAGATATAAGATAACAGGTCTTGGATTTTGGCGCGGAATTCATTCATACATTTAGATAAATGGCGTTTTGGCATTTTAGCTGATGTCAGTTTATGATGAAAACCCTAAATCTAATTCCTAACCCTAGCCATCAACTGTAAATCATAATTTTAATTTCTCGCACTGGTTTATAACCCTTATTTTGTCATAGTTATTAGATAGACATTCTCAACGTCGCTCAAAGGTCAACCATAAATTGTTGTCTCACTCTTCAGATCATTTTGAATTGCGTTTAAAAGTACATTTAGTTATACAACTGGTATTTGATAAGTGCAAACAATTAGATTTCTATCTTTCACTTAGAAACTAGGTTTCTAATACTGTGACTGTGTTGGGGATGTTAGATCCTCAGAACTCATTTCATAAATGTCTTCAAGCATAACAGACCGGATATTTCATCCTTATTGTTTGCATATTTTCCCATTACTAGTGTATTGTTCATAAAACGAGTCAATTTTGAGTATCTGTTTCCTATGTTCCTAAGATTTATCGTCTAGCAATGCAGTACACATGACGCCTCACCATGTAATTACTGTTATATATATATATATATATATATATATATATATTCGAACGAATAGTTTCACAATATTTGGGCGCCGAGTTAATTTGAGACATTAAAAAGAAGAATATATTTGTAAAATCTCAGCGAATGAATTTTAAGTAAATCCAACGTTTCGCCTGGCAATCTGGTCCAAGCTTTTTCAAGGAAAAAATAATAATATCCCTTTGATGAATTTCGATAATGCAACGAGAAGACCAGGGTTATCAGAATTATGTGATATATTTGCGCAATATATTTCGAACAATGTGATCACACATAAACTTGTTAAGACATTTTTATATGAAAAGTAAAAGGTTAAATAGACAGGTTAAAGGTAAGCCGTAACAAAGAAAAATAAAGTACACAAAAACAATGTGATAACCACGCTGGATAATCAGTATTGCTAGGGTAGGTTAAGGGTAAGAACAAATTGTTTTTGAACACAAAGGAGATTTCAGTTTACCTATATCCAAGGCTTCAATAAACCTTAGGTTTTTGTACAAAACTACAAAGGCTGACGTGATATCAACCTTATGACCAGTCCCAACCAAATGTTTCGCGATGGGAGATGTCTGTCTATCCTATGATGTTATTTGACCATTGGAATTCATTTGTTTCTGCAGCCATTTGGGTATGTGTTCCGCCATCCTTAATTGCCAAAACTGTAAACAAAATTAATAATACCAATCTTCTTTGTAACCAAAAATAAACAAAGTACACAAGAGTGAATGTAACCGTTATATCCTAGTGAAGATTACATTACGAGTAACACCTGAGACTTATTAATGGATTACTATTATTTATATCTTTTCATGGTATAAATATTCGGTAACTAGATTATGTATATCTATATTCCCCTTGTTATAAGCTTTATTTGGACCTATATATTATTATTGTACGATTTACGGTTCTTAAGCTATGTTCAGTTTATTGACTACTGTCTCCCACGTTCACAGCCCCTTTTTGGCTTTATTGTGTACAAATGTTATTTCCTACCTTATGGTGCGTTGCGGTCTGTTTGGCTGATATATAAACCCAGTATGTCTGAAATAAATGATTCGATTCGCATAGTGGAAGCTGTCATTGGTGGTCTGGACTCAATTGGACGGGCTAGGCGAAAATAGGACCAATAAGGACACTAGGCTACTCATACCGGTCGAACGTCATTGGTTTGGCACAGTGCTAAGATTGTACAAGTCGTATTTTGTTTAGTGGATAAATCACGGGATAAAAAGCCGAACATAAAGTCAAAACAGTACCGAGAACATCGACTTTACAAAAGATTATTTTCATATAGAATAGAGAAGAAAGGGATTCTCCTCCTTCACACACATAAATTCACTTACACATACGTACCAAAAGATCTCACACTTATCACAATTTGAAACTCAAACACGGATCATAATGGGCTGACATTTCACTGTTTCTGCTCTGCAAAGTTCGAAGTTGCATACCTTTCAATATTAGGGCGACTATTTAATACCTTTTCTATATATTTATACCTAACTCCGTGACCAACTTGATGTAAACATGTTAAGTATTACCTAAAGATAAATTTCAAATGGATATAACAAAAAAAATTGGATTGTATTTGTTAACTTTTTTTATTGTTATCATTTCATAATGCAAAAAGACAAGCTGTTCCGATCAACTGACTAAAAATTTCACACTATTGATGTATCATAAAATGTCACTGAATGGTGAAATTTGCTTTCTTTCTTTTCATTACTGGGATTCAATGGTAAGTAGTCATCTTTAGATTATTTAAATATATTGGTTAATTTTGTCTAATTATATATATATAATAACTGTTTCATGTTTTTTTCTTTCAATATGTATATAGGGTTTTGTAATTTGTCTTTCAAGTTTTGCTGTTTATGCAATGAGTTTCTCAGTGATACGTACTGGGATATTGAAGATCTTTATTCATATATTTAGTTGGTCTGTGATTAGTAAGTTTTTATTTACTCGAATTGACTGTTTTATTGCACATTTTTTGTGTATTTTATACACAAATGCAAATGGATACTCTTTTTTATTAAACAATGTGAAACAAGATCATAACGAAGTGTAGAACAATATTTCATTGAAAACGTATCGATTAAACGAAAATCGATTTCATTGGAAATACTTTTAAAGGGAAAAGTCTAACAAATACGCAGATGACAGCATATGAAACTGTAGTAATGAATTGTATTTTTCACAATACCATTTAAGATCTTCAACTGCAAGTGTCTAGCATTTATTGCAAAAGCCTCCAGCTGATTGCATATACGATTTTTTATGGATTGATTCTATGTCTTCACTTTTAGGCTCCTCGCTCCCACTTTAAGCTTACATTAAAAACACTAGTGATAGTTTATTAATTACTCAACATTTCCCCACATTCACCAAATATATCTCAAAACGATGTAATAAGATCTTAAACTTATAGTCAAATTCAATACTATAACGTTGACAAAAAGCGAATATATGATTATATCTGATGTGAATTTACACATTTAAAACGTTTGGTATAAATTTCTTGTAGTTGGATCGTAAAACAACTTCACTTACTCCTCTCCCAATAATTTAAATCAACCCTTATTCATTTCCCCCTAAAGTATCGATTTGAAGTTTGTGTGAGTAGAGTAGGTACAAAAATGTTTCAGGATTCACGTTTAAAGTGTATTTTTCACGGTGTGAACTGTGTCAAATGCAAGTTACGTTGTTTTTATAATTTTTAGGTGAGTATTTGGTGTTTAAAATGCAGTATTAATTTCACTCTTAATAAATATTTTTAGCGGACACCTTTGTCACCCAATGAAGTCATTGTTCTTGATTATGTTTTTATTCATTCCAGTACTTCTACCGGTGTCAGTTATCCTTCTAGTTCCAACACGTCTTGGACCTCGAATGATTGGATGGACAATCGTTTACCTTGTCCCACTTTTACTAATGAGCACTTAGTATCCTTTTTCTAAATTACTGGTTTAAGGAAAGAAATTATTTGTTCCATTTAATGTGATATAATTTATACCTAAATTGAATGGTATATAACTCAATCTCATGTAAGTACATAAATCAGAAACAATGATCATCACGTTGACATGCGAAGGCAATCCTATTATTTTTAACACCGAGTGGAAACCAAATCTTCAAAAACTCCAGTTTCAACTAATTAGCCATTTAAGAGCAATAGTGAAAAATATCATCGATAACAAATATATCACTCACTGGATACTTTTATTTGACTTGTATTTAGTAGGGTCACAACACTATTCTCCAACCTTTTTTCCCACTTAAACTGATCTCTAGTTGCCTATAGTAATTTCGATTTAAAAATTTTACAGACGTTGTAAACCTTACTTTTAAAGTTTAGAAAATAAAACATTTTGTTATATCCTAGTAAAGGTTAAATTACGAGTAACTTCTGAGACCTATTAATGGACTAATATTATAGATATATTCTTACTGTATAACTGTTCAGTAACTAGATTATGTATATTTATACTTCTCTTATTGTAGATATATTCCTACTGTATAACTGTTCAGTAACTAGATTATGTATATTTATACTTCTCTTATTATAAGCTTCATTTTGACCCATAAATTATTATTATTATTATTATTATTATACGACTTACTGTTCTTAAATTATACTTAGTTTATTAATTACTGTTTCCTACGTTCACAGCCACGTTTTGTCTTTATTGTGTATAAATGTTATTGCATATTTTATGGTGCGATGCGGTCTGTTTGGCTGATATATAAACCAAGTATGTTTGAAATAGATGATTGACATAGTGGGAGCTGTTATTGGTGTTCTGGACTCAACTGGACGGGCCAATAGGACGCTAGACTGATCAGACCGGTCGGACTTCATTGGTTTAGTACAGTACACGAGTGGATAAGTCGTATTTTGATTGGCGAATAAATTACATGGTAACTAGCCGGACTTAAAGTCACAACAAAATTTGGAGTTGCTGTCACCAGTTAGTCCATTAATCTGTCTCAGAAGTTACTCGTAATTTAATCTTCGCTAGGATATAACACATTTTAATAAACATTACCATAGTAGAGATTTCCTGTACAATGTAACATAGATTTATTGATCATTACTAACCTTTATTAACTAGAATAGTTAGGCCATTTGTTACAGATACTCCAACATTTTGTTTGCTAGTGTAGAACAGGATCACCAGAGCAAGACATTACATCAATTTATAATACCATTAAATATTAGACTTAAGAAACATCCTACAAATCGATGCTTTTTGAAAGGATGTTAAGAATCAGTATATTAAAAATTGAGTCAGACAAAAGTTAGGTTTGATAATAACCAAATATGATACGATACAAATGTTTTACGACTTATTTTCTCTGATCAATTTCTCAATAGACTGCCATCCAAATATATTTCTGAATATAGAAAAAATGTTGTTTCCAATCATAAGTCGCTTTAAAACATCTATTTATCAGAAGTGCTTGCGATGTTTTAATTTCACTTCTTGCGAGCAATCCCATTAATAGGGTTAGTGTATAAATCTAAAGTTTAATATTCTTTTGAATGTAATATGTTTGTATCACAACATAAATTACGTAATCAAGAGATTGCTTGCATAAAAATACTTTATCTATCAAATATAACTTCTGTTTAACGAATAGTAATGCTCTACCTCAAGATTAGTTTTTATTTGTCTATTATCTTTCTCCTCTCATCACTAGTTCTTCAGATGTAAACCTTAAGAACCCACTCAAATTTCAATAAACTTCATTCTTGCTGTTCTAAAGTCGAGAAGTTTTTAATAACGTTATTCCAAACATTGATTTTATCTTAGTAGTTATATCTATTATCACATACTATCAACACTTATACTTACCCTAAAGAAGTCCAGACAAGTTTGCTGGACGAAACGTTGAGATTATTTAAATTTCAGTCGCTGAGATTATTTCAAATATAATTTTCAAAAGTTATGACTTATACTTATTGTTTATCGATTATCAATGTACCAAAATAACACACTGGCCTCATGTTAATGCTAGGTGTGTAGTGATTATTTTTTGTTTCTTTACTTACAATGTAAGACAATCATCTTAATTCAGGAATTTTCACCCTAGTAATGATAAAAGATCACTTTTTGGAAACTTTTAATGAATTATATTGTCTGTTCGTATACTATTACTTAACTTCCAATCAATTTAACTAGTTATGAAGTTTCATTCTTTGCCGTATTCGCTGTAGTCACCTATCTATGGTTTTATATAGAAACGAAAACACTAATTTTAAAGGATAATATCAGGGTGAGTTTGGTCCATCTTATCAAATTTCGTTCAGCATTATCTATATTAATCTTCTGTTGGTAATTTAAAAAACTGGATGAATGTAAGTACACTGATTAGCTCTCCTCTTTTTGGAGTCTATCTCACACTTCTTTTTATATAAATTATTTTGTGTTTTGAATATTCATCTCTTACCCGAAGATGTAGCAATTTTTATATTTTTGGATCGTGGTTAATACTAAAGTCGAAGACAGGTGTTTCTTGCCAATCGGAAATTCTCAGCTGTGTGTATTTTTATTTCAGAGTTAAATTCTCAACCGAACATAGATTGTTTCGCATACGACAGCGTTATCTACAAGGCAAATCAATCACGATAAACATTATTTGTTCATATTAGTTGTCAGAGTTTGAATAAAAGATTCGAACTCTTGCTAACAAGTAGGACATACTTTAAAAAACTTCCAAAAACTCGCTTCTTTGTGAAGTATGTACTAATAAGGCTTAAAGCTTCACTATCAAACTGTTCAGCTAAAAGAAAATAACACTCCTCATACATTATTAACTCGGTCATTACACTACTTAGATGATGAGTTTTGATTTAATTTCTTGTTTTATATTTTTCCATGATTATTAGGTTTGGGATCTTCAGACATCAACTGACGACAGCATTCATTCAGCTATTCAGAATCAATATTCGTACAGTGAAAGTCCGTTAAACCTGAAGAGATTTCGTCAATCACTTTTCTTTGTATCCTTTTTCGAAAGGAAAAATTTACTAGTTTACACTTACACTTACTCGAATACACTTAATAGAGATAGTGTAAAAAAACTATTTTATGGCATCACTTCTATTTAGATGTTTATTATTACTATTGTGATACAACTCAATAGTCACTTATACACTGACCTACTCATCGTTTGAGGACATCGCAACACTGAGTGAATTGAATGAAAGTTTACAATGACAGTAATTTAATGAAAATTACCATAAACCGGTTATTAACCAGTCCTGCTGTAGTGAACGAGAACACGGACGGGTACAACCGAATGTATTTGAACACAAAATTACGGAATCTCTTAGTAAAATCTGAGAACTATACAGTAAATAGTTCATCTGCAAAATGTTAATCGATTATCTCAAACTTGACTGTTTCCACACCAATCACTCTGTTCTCGTCCTCTACGAGCTTCTTAACCTTCTGCTGTATTTCATTTCCGATTGATGATACATACTACTTATATCTGTCGACATCAGTAGCACACATTGCACTACAACACCGTTTCTATTTTGACCATTTCTCCATCATCCTACAATCTGAGTTATTTTCTTAATAATATGTAAATTAGATATTTCTTTTGATAATTGGATTTTTCGGTACCGGGAATATTGCTAGTATAAACAGGTAGGTGAATGGAAGTTTGTAACGATATTAAAGCTCATTTTCTAGTAACTTAATGCATTTGTAAAAGTTCATACTTTTCTAATGATAATGTTTAGGATTTTAAATGATCAGTTTGTTCTGACGCATGCACCCTTCATTGAACAACCTAGTGATTGTCTTAACTCAATGGATAAGGGGTTCAAAGTGAAATGTAATAGGTTTGTGAGTTCTCCCACTTGATAAACTTCAAGTAGGACGAAAGGCGTTCTCGGGATTCCACTGGTAGCCAGTATCAAACTTTAAATTGACCCATGTTGAGAGCATTTTGTATTATATATTTAGGCAGTTTATCAACAATGAAAGTCAGTGACCTAATAATTAAAGCGGTTGGTTTTATACTATTGGATTGTAAATTCACAAGTCCGTTTTGCGTAATCCGCATGAATAATTGTATAGTGTCATTAATTCTCACATTAAAATTATGAATCAAAGTAGAGCACATTAATTTCTGTCTCTGTATCTGTTTCGCATGTACATATATGTTGCATTATCACATCAGAATCATTTATATTGAACTTTTTCCAGTTCTAATTTGTTTACGGACGATATTTCCAAACATTTTTTTATTATATTATGATTTTCAACAATTTGAATGAAACAATAAGTTATGTCATGCTTTTAGCAATCTCATTCCTATATAGGTCATTTGAATTGTTTAAACTTAACTATTTTGAGTTATAATAACTTGTGTAAAAATACATGATCAATAACCAGTGATCTTTTCCCAGTTAGTATCTGAGTTTCAAATAAAGAATTTTTTCCAATTTTTCTTCGGTAAAATCAATCATGTTTTCCGATCGTTTTAGTTTTGACCCACGTTCAACATTTTGCTTCACAACAATATTAAATCCTGCCCTGATGGCGATTCTTTTGCTAATTAAGGTAATTTTATATGTTCTTTATATACTCATATTTGTTAATCAATTTGATCATTTTGAGTGTTCTTCCCAGCTAAGATTATTCCGGTCATTTAGAAGGGAAGACAAATGAAAACAAAAACGTTTGTGCATAATGGCTACAAAAGATTAATTTGAGTAACCAATGTCATATTCAGTGGTTGCATTATACGCAAGCAGTATTTTTAATAAAACTGGGGTCGAATACCTGAAACATGTGGGGGGCCTTATATTGTCAGCATTCGGAAATAAATAAACAAATGAATTTCGATTGTTCCACAACATTGTGTGATTCGCTTTTTCAGTGAGCAAATAAATTATACAAATCAGTACAAACTTAAATGGTAAACAAATAACAAATTGAATCAGATAGGTAGCCGCTGCAACATCATGTTTAAACATGCTTGCTGAAAGTGACTGAAGGTTTTGTGTTCACATTGACTGGTCATTAAATAGCGATCAATTTCACGTTTCTCTAGACCTTAATGCTGGTTATATTCTATCGACCAAGGTTCAGTATGTGTCACTAGTTTAAGTGACTGAACATCATGTGTGCTTCTATTATAAATGCTAATCCCGTTGACCACAATGACAACGAAAGTTTCCTGATTAGACTTTACTAAAAACTATGTTTTGCTGTTGGAGATAGTCAACAAATAATCCTAGATGTAAGCATCGTTCTAGCTGGTTCTTGTCAACAAGGCATACCTTGCAGTTTTAGGAAGAAATTTTACTTTTCTCATTGTTATCCAGGTTGCTATTAATTTCTTGTTGGACTGAGAAACTTAAGTCCAGGGTTTCTCATCACTACCAGAGGTAGTGACATTTCCACTCAATTCGCACTTACTGTTTCACAATGATAGTCTTGCTTTGATTTGTTCATTATGTTAAAATAAAGCTCCAAAGTCAAACGATATTTGGAGGATGACATTCACTAGGGTAGTAGATGTGACTAAATTTTGAATGTTTTATTTATTTGTTTCGAACAGAGTCGAAGCACTATCTACTATCTGTTTGTGAACGCTTCTAAAATATATTAAGGTTCGATTATATTTGAATTATCCTTTGTGATATCTATGCTTAATTCATAACCTACCTGTCTATAACATCATCTGCATTACAGTAAGTACTGAAAAATCTACTGATCGGATAGCAATGTCATTCGCAGTGATGAACTGGAGAAATCCCTCATTGATTGTTTGTTTGTCATCCTAAAGGATAAACTGGAATGTGTTTTCATATAGCTTTTAAAGTAACAGCTCGGCATTATGTCCAATAATTATATATCTGATTATTTATAACTAATTGGGCTGTTACGGATATGCATTTAACTATCATAGATAATACTTACAAAACAATATGTGAATTCCAATTTAGTCGCCAGACGATCGTACTATATTTTATTGGCATACTAAATATGAATTGCTGTTTTGTTTAATTCTGGTATTTAAAATATGTCATAATCATTATTATAAAATCTAATTTTCCTCATCTAGATAATGTGTCCTATGCTCTTTTTGGGCGTGATCTATGCAGCTATCCAGTTGCATAATGGCAATTACTCATCGTCTGTCAACAATCAAAAATCGAAAAGAGGATATCATTCTATTTTAGCGCAAACTGGTGTGACTGCAGTACTATCTAACCTAATAGCTATCCACTTTTTTGTTTGGTTGAAAGATGAAGGCAGTTGGTTAGATATAGGGACTAGTATTAGTCATTACGTTATTGCTATGTCTATCAGTCTAGCTGGATTTCTTTTCACATTATTGGGAAAGGAAATGTTAAGTTTTTCAGTGAGTTCTAACATACGCCAAAAGCTGTTGAAAGTATCTAATAAACATGTATAATAACTACCTTTCTGATTATATGTTGTAATTATCCTTTAACGTGTTGAACTTTGGTTACGTTTTGTTTGACTTTTTATTGCACATGGAAAGCTACTTAAATCTAAAATAAAAGTGATATTAATAGACAAATGTTCTAGTCAATTCAATGCCCTTAATTGTAAAGATATATCTTACGTTATACGATATGATCAATGACAGCAAAGGGAATAAATACGTTAATGAGTAAGTAATGTCTAATAGGAATTAATAATCCGACTGAACAAGCAGATATAGGTACATGTATTTGTTGCATAAAAATCAGAAATACAACTCAAATCGAAGTAGTAAGAACATAATTTGAAGGCAAGAGCTGAAGCCATGAACTAGTCACAATTCGATGATCGTTTAATGACACATTAAATTTTAATTACTTCTTTTTTCCATTAGTGTATCCTGATTAGACAAGACCTGAGAGTGTACAGCCATATCTAAGCGTTATATTTTTAGTACTGGTAGTAACAAAAACACTGAGTATTCACTAGTTCATATGATTAGTGTAGAAACTAAGTGAAGCAGCGACTTATTGATTAAAGAATTCGACTTTCAGTCAACAGGTGGGTTAGAAGTCTAAAAACCGTTGATGATAGTTTTAAAATGATACAGTAATATATCGTTGATTGAAGAGCAGATGGTGATAATCTAACAATATCTCCTTATCTATCATTCAATTTGCCTGAACTGTCGGATAAATTATCATTGTAGTCAAACCTAATAATTATTACATCGCGAAACTTAAAGACAGTGATATCCCCAAAATTACAAGCTTTAATTTAAAAGGGCGTGTCGACTAGAATCCTAAGGAATAGCAATATAGAACTGAGGAAAGAAAGAATTGAAGGTTATCAATTTATTATCAACACTTAAATAAAATAATTACTAGTTGTTGATTGAATCCAATAATACTGGTGTTCAGTGTATCCTTACGAGCGTCATTTTTACAAAGTATCTAACATGCAGAGGTTGGTTTAGATAAGGTGAAAATTTAAGACAGGATATAACTCAACGTCCAACCGTTACAAAGTTTGATAATAAAGAACATCCGGTGAAAAATCAAATGATTTTACTTTAAATTTAATAGTTGAATTCATGAGCCAATTAAAGCTAGACCATCATGGAAAACCTGGAAGCACCGGACGGCTGTTCCGTTCTAGCATGTGACTCCTCAGCACTGCGCACTCACGATCCCGCTCGCGGGATCCGAACCCAGGACTTATCGACCTTGCGCGCGGACGCAACCTGTAGATCACTGAGTTGACATCCAGTGGTGTTAAGGTCTAACTTCAACCAATCCCCTTCTGATAACAATCATCATGTGCACACTAGTGATTGGCTTCAAGAGGTATTTCCCGGAGTTCTGGTGAGAATCCGTGACCAGTGGAGTTCAGCCAGGCCTGTTGTCAGATAGTAACCCAATGAAGACAATAGTGGACGGTGGTGCAATTTTGTGGAAGTTGAAGTTAGACATTAACACCAACTCAGTGATCTACAGGTTAAGTGTTCGTGCGCAAGACTGATAAGTCTTGGGTTCAAATCCCGCGAGCGGGATCGTGGACGCGCAGTGCTGAGGAATCACGTACTGGGACAGAATGGCCGTCCGGTGCTTCCAGGTTTTCCATGATCACTTACTCCTGTTACTCCTTCTGGGGGAGCATAGGCCGCTCACCAGCATTCTCCATCAAACCCTGTTCTGGGCTATCCTTTCGAGCTCTTTCCACTTGTTGTTCATCTTTTCCATATCTGTTTCTATTTCCCGACGTAATGTGTTCTTTGGCCCCCCTCTTTTCCGTTTCCCTTCACGATTCCAAGTTAGGGCTTGCCTCGCGATGCAGATTGGTGATTTCCGTAGTGTACGTCCTATTCATTTCCATCGTCTTTTCCCGATTTCCTCTTCAGCTCGAAGCTGGTTTGTTCTCTCCCACAGAAGGCTGTTGTTGATGGTATCCGGTCAGTGGATGTTGAGTATCTTGCGTAGACAACTATTTATAAATACTTGTACCTTCTTGATGATGGTTGTAGTAGTCCTTCAAGTTTCAGCTCCGTACAGTAGAACCGCCTTGACGTTCGTATTGAAGATTGTGACTTTGATATTGGTTGATAGTTGCTTTGAATTCTATGTGTTCTTCAATTGTAGGAATGCGGCCCTTGCTTTGCTAATCCTCTCCTTTACGTCTGCATCCGATCCCCATTGTTCATCGATGATGCTTACCTGGTACGTGAAGGATCCCACGTCTTGCAGAATTTCACCATTAAGTGTGGTTGGGTTAGTGTTCTCGGTGTTGTATTTGAGGGTCTTGGTTTTTCCTTTGTGTATGCTGAGGCCTACTGATACAGAGACTGCTGCTACACTGGTTGCATCTGTTCGTGTGTATAGGATAGGAGAGATAGGTCGTCCGCGAAGTCCAATTGGTTCTGAGCTGTCTATTGTATGCCGTGTTTACCCTCAGATGTCGAGGTCTTCATAATCCACGCTCTCAGGTCACTGGGACCACCTCTAATCCAATTTCCTTTTCAGGTACCTCCAGAAGAACCCTTCCACGGTGTGGGCAACCGGGAAGTGATAACCGCCCTCATACCTCTAACAGCACTCGAGACCACTGTATTCATAATCAACCTTCCTCTTCAATTCCTATTATTCCTCCTACATCGACTTTCAACTCTAAACTTCCTTTTTCGGCTATCTCCTCAAGTGTCATCATAGCCAACGATTCTAGGCTCAAACACTCCCAGGTCTACTGAAACCTCGCTCCAAACTACACATTGGAGCCTTCAACGTACGCACCCTATGTCAAATCGGTCAGCAGGCTTCCTTGGCTAAAACCCTAGAGTCTCTTTCCATTGATGTATGCTGTGTCTCCGAAACACGCATACAGGATTCCAGTGTGGTCATTCACTTGACCTCACCTCGGCAAACGGAGAGCCAACGAGATACACCCTCCGTGTGTCTGGTGACCCGATGGCCAGTTCTCGTGGACTGGCAGGTGTAGGCATAGCACTAAGCATGAGGGCGAACAAGCACTGCTAGAGTGGATCCCCGTCAACAGTCGTCTATGTGCTGTTCGGCTGAACGGCTCGTAAGAACTCGGAAGGATAGGGACACACGTCGTTGCCTTTTTGTCGTTTCTGCCTACGCTCCCACTGACTGCAGCTCAGATGAAGTGAAAGATGAATTTTACAGAAAGCTTCCGAACTTCTTCAGAAAGCTAAACGCTCAGACATAGTACTCGTAGGGGTGACTTTAATGCTCAGATAGGTAGTTAAACCAAACAGAAAGGCATTTAGGTGGATATTTTAGTATTCCGACACAGCGAACAGATAATGGTGATCGTCTGCTGCAACTATGCTCAGACAATCGTTTATTTTTAGCAAACACAAATTTTAAGCATAAGGAGAGACATCGTCTAACATGGCGACCCCCTACACCAAACCAACGATGGACTCAAATAGACCATATTGCCATCAGTCATCGTTGGAGAGGGTCGGTAGAAGATTGTCGCTCATTCTGGAGTACCTGCTTGGACTCCGACCATGCCCTAATACGGGCACGCATCTGCTTGCGCCTCACTGGACGCAAAAAAGCCACATTAAAAAGACCCATTAGAACTGAGTTGAGTAACGAGAAAACCAAAAGTAGGTTCCAGGAACAACTGAGGTCACACTTAGGTGTGAAGACGAGGCTGACCCAGATGTTGCTTGGAAGGCATACAAGCAGCTGTGGAAACAGCAGTGACATCTATTAGTGACTTAAACCACAGAGTTACAAAGAACCAGTGGATTTCTTCAAGGTCTATCACACTGATGGATTCTCGCAAACTCGTCCCATCAGGTTCCGAACATGATGAAGAGCGACAACAAATCAGATCTAGGTTAAGAAAAAGTCTAAGGAACGACCGTGAGCAGTGGTGGGCAACGAAAGCAAAAGAGATGGAAAAGGCGGCGACTATAGGGAACACAAGACAGCTTTACAGACTAATAAAAGAAACTGGAATTAATAAGTCAAGTGTAAGTGAGATTATTTCGGAAAAAGATGATACTCTCATCTGCTCCCAGTCCAGACGTTTAGAACGATGGGCGGAACATTTTAGAGAACAGTTCAGCTGGCCTTCAGCTACTCTACAACTACCCTCCATTCCCAGACAGTGTGAATGGAACATTGAAGTAGGTCCCCCAACTCTTGCTGAAGTTCAAAAGGCTATAGTTAATCTGAAACGAGGAAGGGCAGCTGGTCCAGATGGACTGGCTCCAGAGGTCTTTAAGGATGGTGGTCCAATTTTAGCGATTAGGTTGACTAATATTTTAGCTAAGATCTGGGAATTAGACGTTATCCCATCTGACTGGTCGCAATCACTTATCGTCCCAATATATAAGAAAGGGTCAAAATCATCCTGTGACAACCACAGAGGGATTAGTTTAACTAATATAATATCTAAAATACTAGCCTCGATAATTATCAGACGCCTAACTAAGACTCGTGAACTGCAAACACGAGAGAACCAAGCTGGCTTTAGACCTGGTCGTGGCTGCATCGACCACATATTCACCATTCGTCAGGTTCTAGAACACAGGCATACTTATCGGCGTCCGACAATGGTGGTCTTTCTTGACTTAAAAGCAGCATTTGACTCTGTAGACCGCGAGATTCTGTGGCAGTGTCTGTCATTGAAAGGCGTACCTCAGAAGTACATAAACCTTGTGAAGGCTCTTTACTCGAACACTACTAGTCGAGTCAGAGCTTATGGCGAACTGTCATCTACTTTTGCAACCTCAAGTGGTGTCCGTCAAGGCTGTCCACTTTCCCCATTTTTGTTTAACTTCATCATAGACCTATTGATGGAAATAACTCTCGTCGACTGAATTCTCGGGTATTGATCTCCTTCCAGGAGGTCCACTTATCGACTTAGAATACGCAGATGACATAGTCCTGTTTGGTGAAGACGCTGACAAAATGCAGAGTCTTCTGGTAGCACTAAGCAACAATGCCAGAATGTTTGGAATGCGCTTCTCTCCCTCTAAATGCAAGTTGTTGCTTCAGGACTGGTCTGCGTCAACACCTGAACTAAGGATAGGGAGTGAAGTAGTCGAACGCGTTGACAACTTCACTTATCTTGGAAGTCTGATCAGCCCTAATGGGTTGGTGTCTGACGAAATCTCAGCACGGATTCGAAAAGCTCGTTTGGCTTTTGCCAACTTACGTCACCTTTGGCGAAGGCGAGATATCCGTCTATCAATAAAAGGACGAGTATACTGCGCGGCAGTCCGTTCTGTTTTAATTTACGGCAGCGAAACATGGCCTTAAGAGTAGAAGACACTCGTAAGCTACTAGTATTTGACCACAGATGCCTTAGAAATATTGCTGGCGTCTGCTGGGATCACCGGGTAAGTAATAGTGAGGTTAGACGCAGGGTATTAGGGAATGATGGTAAATCAGTTGATGAGGTTATGAATCTTCATCGACTGAGATGGTTGGGCCACGTATTACGTATGCCTGAACACCGATTACCACGACGTGCAATGCTAACCGGTGTTGGAGATGGTTGGAAGAAAGTTAGGGGCGGCCAAACCAAAACGTGGCATCAGTGCTTGAAGTCACTAACTTCTAGTCTGAGCCATGTTGGTAGATGCAGACTACTTGGTTGGGGTCCGCGTGACTTTCGTAACCAATGGTTGGAGACTCTTGGTGACATGGCTCAGAATCGATCACAATGGCGTCGGTGTATACACTCCCTGTCTTCCCTTAAACTAAGAGATTAAAATCACTTCATATCTTTCTTTCTACGAACCAATTCTTTCTTCTTGTACTATATCTCTATATGCAATCTTCCTCTTATTATTACCACCTTTGACCTAACCACTGCTATGAATCCGGTGTTCATCTTGTTGTGCTGATGCGGTATGGCAACCTGGACCGATGCACATATGTGCCTGGTCCTACGTTGTAGCTGACTGACTGAATCCAGTCGATCACCAGAAGAAAGAAGGGATAAAGTAGACAGTCTTGTTCGACTCCAGTCCTTACTTGGAATGCATCTTTCAGCTGTCCTCCATGCACCTCCTTGCACTGTAGTCCGTCGTATGAGTCCCGGATAATGCTGACAATCTTCTCAAGAACTCCATAGTGTCGAAGAAGTTTCCACGATCTTCTCCTATCTACACTGTCAAACGCCTTCTCAAAGTAAATGAAGTTGATGTATAATGATGAATTCCACTCAACTGATTGTTCGAGGATGATCCGTAGTGTCGCGATTTGGTCTGTGCACGACCGATCCTTACGGAATCAAGCTTGTTGATCTCGAAGTTGGGCGTCTACCGCGTCTTTCTCCAGTTCAGCAACACTGCTGAAAACTTCCCCTGGTACTGATGGTAGTGTGATACCTTTGTAGTTTTCGTATTTGCTCAGATTTCCTTTCTTTTCCTGTAAGGCTTGTAACCTGTTGTTGAGAGTTATCTTGAATTCGTTGAGTTTGTCAGTATCTTGAAGGAAGGCTGTATTGAACCTTTGCATTGCTGTTTGTCCAGTTCTTCTTTAGCTTCAGTTTTAAATTGGCTACAACTAGGTGGTGATATGAAGCTATGTCAGCACCTCTCTTGGTTCTCACATCTCCCATTGTCCTTCGGAATTTTTTGTTGATGCAAATATGATCTATCTCGTTCTCTGTATGGTCCGGTGAGATCCATGTAGCTTTGTGTATACGTTTGTGCGGAAATATTGTGCCGCCTATGACCAATTTGTTGAATGCACATAGATTTGCAAATCTTTGCCCATTTCTGTTTCTCTCTTCCAGTCCATGCCGTCCCATGATATCAACATATCCGGCGTTGCCTATTCCGACTTTGGCATTTAGATCTCCCATTAGAATGGTGAGGTTCTTTCTTGGGCACTTCTCTATGATTGACTGCAGCCGCTCGTAGAATTGATCTTTGATGTCGTCGTTGCTATCATTGGTGGGTGCATAACATTGGATAATATTCATTGTGATCCCCTTCTTCTTTGTTTTGAATAATGCTTTGATGATTCTGGGTCCGTGAGATTCCCATCCTACAAGTGCATTTCGTGCTACTTTGGACAGCATTAGAGTAACTCCCTGAGTGTGTGGAGCATGTTCCTCTTCGTGGCCGGAGTATAGCAGCATCTCTCCCGTATCTAGCTTTTTCGGTTCAGCTAGGGTCTAATGAGTTTCTCTGATTCCGAGTACTGCCAAGTTGTATCTCCTCATTTCCGCTGTTATTTGTCTGGTCTTCCTGGTCCCCCACATTGTCCGGACGTTCCATGTACCTATAAAAATTGTTGCTCCGGTTGTTAGAAGGGGCACCGGCCTCGTGGCTTCCGAAGGAACTCGGCTTTCACTATGAGGCGTCATAACTCTTCTAAACGAAGAACTTCTAACTCCCAGGACAGAGTTTAAATAGTTTGAATTAATTTTTCCGGTTAGCGTTTTTTCCTAGCGAGTTAGTTTTTTATGGGATGGGGTCGCTAACCCCATGCCCAAACCTCCTCCTTTGCCCAGGCTTGGGACCGACAGTAACTCTAGAAGAGCTACAGGTGGAGTTTTTTCCATGATGGTCTAGCTTTAATTGACTCATGAATTAAAATATTAAATTACTAAAATCTCCACAAAACCCCTTTCTGATTTTACTTTCGACAAATTTTAGCGTTTAAATTCTAAAAAATTGCAACAGTTTAAAAAAACTAGTCATTTTCATAACAAAATTTGTTTATTTCAAAAGATTATGTCTTAACTTGTTTAACAAATGTCCGTGCAACTAAAATTGGAAATATCAAAGATGCATCGGCATTAATCTTAACTGGTTCAGCTAAACCTTTAATTTTTCCCCAACTTACAGCTTCATCTGGTCTAGCACCGGAGTCACTACCATCAAATTCTTGTCCTGTGTTGATAAGTACACAATAATCAGCCCCATTTCGCATCAAATTTGCATTGAATGTGTGATGTTTTATGAGACCACCACCTAGCACTATCATTCCTGTAGTACGAGCATTAATTGCCAGTAAATTGATATTTCGAATATCTTCAACTAGATCTATTTTTAAACCAGGGGATCGATAAGTGTGACTAAACAGGACATCACCCAGCGAACCATCGGTTAAACCGGGACAAAATACCGGAATTTTATTCTGATGTAAAAATAATAGGAGGAACAGAATAAAAGTTAGAAAGAATGAACATGCAATTAATGGAACAACAAAACAATGATAGGCAATCAGTAAGACTTGTCTACAGATGTGTTTTAAGCACATGAGTTTCCTGGAGTATAGTAATTAAATCGAAAAATCGGATTGAATTGCTAATCCCATCAAAAAAACATATCAACTTGTTGTACGTAACCAGAAAGTAGTTGGTTTTCATTTCATCTCAACATAGTATTACTTAAAAACAATAAACCGTACTCCGAATACCTATGATCCAATAAATAACATGGTAATCCACAAATCGACTCCAAACAGTATGTCAATACAACTAAGTCTCAACCATTTTGTGATGGTAAACAATAATATCAATGGCTAATGGGCCATATCTTGGATTTATGGCTCTCTGATAAAAAACTTTTAGATCAAAGTGGTGGTCTGGTTTGTGGGGGATCCGGTCAATTTTACACAGACTGGAACGCTTGTTCTCTAAATTAATTTGTTATGGAGGACGGTTGAGGACTTAAGTTTACTCTAAGTTAGAGTAATTGGTTTCAAGGATTCCTAGAGACTCATATACTGAATTTTATGGACTTCCAAATGTAGATGTGGCATGAAATTATAGAACGAACAACATACTTCTTGAGTGAATACGACCTGATAGTCATCCACAAAGTTTTGCAAGGACTTAAAATAATTGTTTTTACACCAATAGAGAGACGGCATCAATGAGTAGTTTTGTCGAGAACATTACTCAAAAATGTCAAGCATACAAAACTACTCATAATTACCAAGGAACACATCACTACCAAGTATCTCAAGAAACTCTATTTCGACAAATCAGTAACAGTGATCATTTGTAACGCTGCTCCAACTTACTCTGATGCTAACTTTGAACATATCGAAAGAGATTGCTTAACTTGGCGTTTGCCATATTATGCTTAATAATAAACACATTCTGATTATATCCGCACGCAGCGTGGAGTAAAAGCGGGTGAAACACCCAACTATCTAAGAGTTTACACAATGGTTTACAGCAGTCACAAGTCGCAGAAAACAGACGAAGTAGGTTGCAGAATGGAAAAGACACTAAAATAGGGTAACTCAGTAATTCTGTAACTTTATTGAAGATGCCGGGCGAAAATGAACAGTGAGGATATAGCACAAGGTAGGCTATTGATAACAGTTTGGCGAATTTAGTTCGAATGTTGGATGAAATATTTCATCAGCTATAACCCGTCTGTAGTCTGAAAGGGACACTGATATTGCTCCACCACCTCTTACGTAAACTGAAAAAGTGTGACTGTTTGGAAGGATCTGATGGTATGAATCCACATGCTTTCAAGGATGGCATTCAGAAACTGAGTCGCACTTTAACGTGAGATGATGAAAATTAAACGGTTCTAACAGAATCATTTCAATAGATAGTTACCATATTCATTCATATAGGTTCAGTCACCTAACACACTAATTTTAACTACCAGTTTGAGAATGGAAACGTAATACTCTTTACAAAATGGCGAATAAAGCCCAAACTTGTTATCAATGAGAATAGGTGGAGTGTCAAAAGAATATAATCACTTACTTTATAGCACCAATAATATATGGAGTCTTTATGGTTGATTTCTTTACCTAGACGATTGATCAACTTAGACGGTGTCCAGTTTATATTCTAAATAACATACGAAAACTGTGTTTTATATGTCATACTGAATAACAGAAATATTTTTATCTACTGAGTGATGAAAATCCTTATAAAAAACCTATTCATTATTATGTGTAAAATAACTGTAACTAAGATACCCTTTCAAAGCTAAACAGATAAGACAACACTAGTTTTTCTTCCTCTTTACGGGTGACGTTAACACCAAGCAAACTGACCTCGAGTTGCATGAACAAAACATATGTCCTGTTTCAAGGATATTAAATATAACCACCATGAGTCGAGAAAATGAAATTGTAGTCGGTTGTGTGGATCAAATTAGATACGGCTTCTCGTAAAATTTTCGGTATCATGTGTTCAATCAAGTTATTAGTGAACATTTGTAGTATATTAATAAATGTTGATTAAATAGTTCTATCCTAAAATACAGGAAGTACAACTGTCATTATTACTTTGATTGTGTTGAATAGGACAGTGCGATATATTGTTTCCAACCATCTAACTACTAAGCAAGGCATAGATATTATTGATGGTATAGGGTTCTATGGCCACGATTGCTTAATTGCGAAGCTTACGTTGCTGTGTGTAGGATAATATAAGCTAAAATGCATAAATCTATCAATGAGAAAATTATACACCATGAAGTATCATACGCCAGATACACATAATATCAACACTCATAATAATTGAATTTCAAAATAAACACACCTGAGAATTTTGCTCTTCTAGAACTTCATCTAGAATAGGTAGGAGCCACTGTTCAAATTTAACATAATTATTATTTGGTACAAGTAGATTGCCAATACGATTTACACCGATTTCTCTTAATTCATGACCACGCCATCTTTCAAAATCTCCTATATATGAAGGAGCCAGACATTTGATAAAGTCTTCTTCGACACCACCAGCAGAAGTGACTATCACATCAACCTGTTGATGGAAAAATGTTCGTTGAAAAATCTTGACACAAAAACCAGTCGACATGATGAATGATACTGTAATAAATCCGGTTGAGTTAATTAATTTGGAATACTCTCATTGTAGCTCTATTAAGGGCTGACGGGAAAATACCTAAAATTTGTGGGTTTGCAGCATGACGCACAATACCTGTTTTTTTCTCTGAGAAAACTAAGACTACACGTAATTATTTCTTATGGGCATCTGGAATATGAGCATATAATAACTAAAGCATAATGCGAGTCTAAAGATCGGTCACAATAATTGACATGAGCACACTGCTACGATTCACACGTTACAGGTCTAGGATTCTATGCAGTTTTAGCTGTTCACTCTAATAAAGAAAAATATTGGACCCAATGCTACCAGTTCCAACAGTAAAGCAGTGAGATTTGCCCCCGAATGCCCTGGTACGGCCGAGAGTGGGGAGAGTCCGCTCTCCCTCTCGAAATGCTCTCACATGGCCACGCGTATATAACCTCTGCCAGGGAAGTCCTACTCATTGCCTTCTCGCGGCAGGGGTGTTGTTTACGAGATTGAGAGGAAGAAAAGCGAATTTGTGTGGCGCATATGTATTTGGTGCCTCCTTGTGCCAATATCTATGTGTTAAAATAAATAAAAAATAATAATTAATTAATTGACTTAAAGGTCAGATTTGAAGTAGTTTTAGGCAGTGCTAAGTGATACTGAATCCACTTCCTAAATCAAATCACTTGATTTCTGCTCCAAACCATTAGACACCTTAGTGACGAAAGAATAGAAGATTTCAAAAGACTCGCGTATACCTCCGACCTTTCCACATTTGTAACGGTGGGCAAGACGAAAATTACGTAATGTGATAATAGTTCGTAAGCGGCAGTTCCAACTTAGCAAACAAAATGGAACAGCATTTCGCATACATGCAAGTTAACTTATGTATGAGTGGTCTTAATAAATTAAATAAAAATAATAAACCTTGTTTTGATGATTTGGTCAAATACAATTCAATTCAGTAATCAATTTTAACTCATATTCCCAAAAAACTCATTTTTTGGCGAATGGAAGCGAGGTTTCAACTTGCAACTAGAAGTTTATCAAATGGGGTCGGATGATACAACTTCTGTAAATAGTCGATTAACGTTACAGTGTGTGAACTTATCAGCCTTGAATCAAATGAAATTATAAACAGACAGATATTTTAAGTTGTCAGACTATCAGTAAACCACTTCGTTAAATCATAAAAGTATACTCAGGTGGACAGAAAACACATAAGTATAGCATGGACCTTGATAATCTAATCAACTCGACAATTTTTTACTACATTAAAACCATGTCCCCATATTTGATACACTTCACAGAAAGATCTAGACTGACAATTCCACCCCATAACACGTTAATTAAAACAAAGACACATGCCAGTAATGATATATTTAATCCAAGTAAGAGTAAAACATATAATTACTTTGGTTAATGATAAAATGTGAAAGACAAAATGAGACCTTGGTAGAATTTACTAAATCTTACCATGTTATGTTCGGCCAGAAAACGTATAACTTCTCGAACTCCAGAGCTCACCATATTTGATGTATAAGCCAAAAATATGGTACATTCTGATAAAGGTCTATTTAAAGGATGAAAGTCTTGTAACACTTGAGCTAGTTCAATTTCTTCGCGTGAAGTAGGTTTTAAATTCCGTTTATTAATCTGTTGAAATGATTGGAAAGTAACTTTATCATAATAAATAGGCATATTTAGGAAAACATTTGAAAAGAGTTTAGACTAGTTGACAAACCAGAAGATTAAGTGAATGAAAAGGAAGGTATATATAATTTAGAAAAAGTGTTAAACACCAACAAACAATATACAAGCACAATTAAAAGCATGAAGAGATATGTGATAATTAAATATGAATATTGGTTTCAGTAGGAATTTTATTATTTATCAAAAGACAATAGACACCACTACACAAGTATTTTTATGAATTTCAAATATCACAAAGTATTGTACTTAATATACAATGAAACTAACTATAAAGACTTCAAAATATCTACCATTTCATTCAGAACATGTTCAGCCTTTGCAAAATGAGTTGCCTGAAATCCAATACACTCAAAAGATGAGAACAAAGCATCGTAATTTAGACCAGCGTTAAAATCATATCCCTTTACTTGAAGATGAACACCCTCTGGCAAACTAGTGCATGGTTTAAGAACAGCGTCTACGAAACCAGGAGGTCGATCATCATGACAAGAAATCTGAGAGTGATTCTTTTCCTGAAACAAGGTGGTGAAAAAAGTAAATGAATAAGCAGCAAATCTAGTATTTTAACTTAAAACCAAAATTAATAAAACGTTAAACCAAATGTGTTTATAATGAGATTTTCATGTAGTTCAGCACACTTGATGTTTTGCAGAGCTTAGTAATGTTTGTGTAAGGGAACTAAAATGTACGAACAAATCTAGCAAATACTTCTTGCAACCATTAGGAAACTCGTTTCATATGAACCATATATATCGTTTTAGAGCATCCTTGAGTTACAGTTAATCTCAGTTGATGATTAAGACCTAATGCTAACTCTTAAAATCCAATTACAAACATCAACTATCACTCACAAGTTTCAGCGAGGCTAAATGATCGTCGATTTGAATAGACAGTTCTGAGGATCCTCAGAATTTATTACGCTTTATTAATCCTCTTTTAAGTAAACATCTTTTTGAGCAGATAAGTAGTTCAAGTTCGCAAGTAGCTTATATTAGTATAATACTTGGATTTGAGAATCATACTATAGTTAGACACGTAACTACTCATATTTAGTATGTAATTAGTATCACGTCAGTATAACCTATACAGTAAATGGTTTCGTCAAATGAATGAATTGGACTCCCTGGGTGAAACGGTAATATCAGTTACTCGGGATACAATATGAAACATACTTCCATCCTCAAGGTAGCCGCAACATCGAGTATCCGTGGTCCGGTAACGATGTATTAGCATCGTCCGCCGCCGAATACTGCTGAGCACTTGAAGGTCAAACTGTCGTAAGACGATTGGTGAGTCACCTCGATAGTTCGTAAGCTTTTCCAGAAGCAGCTGGGTCAAGACAAACTGAAATTTAGTTTGAGTTCAGACGCATTATGTCTGATAGCCTCCGCTGTTTGAGTAACAAAAAAGATGCTGAATTTCGAGCGCCACTTAAAAGGATAGTGGTATTTTTCCTCTCTGAGTCACATTTAAGGTTTTGATTGCCTATCAAGAGTCTAGACCACTGTTTCTCACTTTAACTAAAGTTACTTCAGTTGGAGTAACATCAAGAGTATCGCCTTTTCTTCTGAAAGTAATTCAGCACATGTACTTTTTGAGTACATTCGCTTTTTGTCTGTTGCACTGGTGAACCTGACACTTCGCGGTTTCGCTTTATTGTGTCGCGGCAAATAAATCTTCAAGATAAAGTCCTCGATCACATTAGTTTTAATGGACTCACCTAGCTGGAGGCGCTTCGGTCATGCATCCGCACCAGATCACGGGTGGGAACGCCGTGCTCAACATCCCCTGCAATCGCTAGCCAGATTAGATCAGACGATCCTCGATAAATTTGGTAACCTATCAAATATATCTCCGAACCTCTTCGCTTTTGTCTTTTGGCCGCACTTGGTGGGTGCGATTCATATTAGATGTTACTGATTGAAGTGTCGTCAAACTACAAATAACTGTGGCATCTTCAGTAGAAAAAAGAAATTCAACGCCAGGGCTGTCGACACCTTATGGAAAGGAGCATGTAGTGCGATGAGCGCAATAGACTGTATCATGAAGTATGCACAAATCTGACGCTAGCGGTTTTCAAGCGGTTTAATAAAAAAGGATGCGTGTAATTATGTCAGCAACGCTGTTGAGACATAAACAGCTTGCTATCCGAAACTGTTGCAATGGCAACTCGAAATGGTTTCTTCACAACACTTATGTACCCATAAGATGTTTGTGAATAATAATAATAAGTGATTCTAAAAGTTATAATAACAAGCGTGTAGTTGTAAATAAATCTGCAAAATGAGTAGTTTTGCAAGTCCTCGATACTTGATGCTGACCTTATTGGTTTTACTGCACACTCCTAGCTGGAAGGACTCAGTCACGCATCCACATCAGATCGTGAGTACGATACGTAACACACCCCATGCTAGAACTAGCCAGCTTAGTTCGAATGCTTCCCGATATAGCCTTCCAAATATATCTTCGAATTATTTCGTTTCTGACTTGACTGCATTGGAATACTCCAATTGCAAAAGTGTTGAGTGTAAAGGCGTTGTCAAGCTTCGAATATCTGTTGTATCTTTAAGTATATTTGAGCTGCATCAATCGGTGCTCACCCCCTGGACACAGAAATTGATGTGAATTCATCCCAGATATGCTCAAGGTTGATTTGCTAGCATGAACCAATGGAGGAAAAACAGACTTCAAAGGTGTTTGTTAAAATTAAGAGCTCAAGAATAAATGAGTTTTAACATGAAAACATTAAGCGCATTGAGAATGAGGCTTGGAAGAAATACTATTTGGTGTACAATCAGTGTGATTGTCAAAGATGGGTTTCAGTTTTATGAACTAATCATGAACAAGTCAAAGGTCACCGCTTCACCACTAAAAATTGTAAAAAATTCCTACCAAATATCAGACTTGTGAACACCTTCTCTGTAACACAAGGGTTTATGAAGTAAATATCAGTCAAGGAAACAGGAATCGTGTGTCCAGTTTCATGTGCATGTTCATTAAATTATTTAACTAACCGTTTTTTACCTTCATAGCAGACTCTTGGCAACTTCATGAAGTTGGTTCCGTTTACCTAACGAAAAAAGTGTAGTGTTATCACAAAACATTATCACGTATCCAGCATCTTCACACTCAGCGTGAAGTTTATATTCATGTTGTTGTAAATAATTACTAATATAGTGTAATAAATCTTACGTTTATTTGATTATTCCTTTGCGTGCTCAGTTTTACCAATTCACTAGTTGACTTTCTCACATGACGGTAGCACTCGGTCCTTTTTAACCATGATGACGGGGATGCAGTAGCCTGCAGAATCTTGGGGAAACACGGTTGCATCTATGGGGGACAAGTTTGTTGAGAGTCTAAGACCGTCAATGTTATGGCGGTGTTATGCTATGGGATATTCTCACTAGTGTCGACGCGTGTTCCACCGATACTAATGTTGTCGAAGACACTCTTCTATACTTCATTGCTCGTCTTCATTCATCCGTTTCAGAACTACCTTTTTTCATGGTTGCTGACAATTATTTTCTCAGAAAATTTAATAGAATGGTGATGCTGCTTGGTGAATCCTGAGTATTCGTATTGCATGTGCCACATACTCACCTTTGATCTGACCTATAAAGTCTGTTGTAGACAGTCGCTATAAGATTTCAGCATGCTCCGTGAAGCCAACATTTGCATTTATCACGCTGCACACCACAGGTAACAGTGAAACGGCATTCGGGTTGCTTACATGAGGTTTTCATGACTATAGTGATGTATGAATTGCTAGATAGATCTGTAGTGGTATCGGTTCCTAACCACACGGTCTTAGCCCCACAGACATGGTCATTCTGCATAACTTGTCTTTAAATTAAATATATTATTCTATCTTCAGCCCAAATGTGTTCATCAGAAGTACTGAGTATCATGTTGTTAAATGTCATGATACGATGAGTCATTGTGGACAATGATGTGACTTCCATGTAAGACCTTCTAGATCAGGTAGTCATATCATTACAAATCTAAAATTCTGATATGTGGTTCATTATTAGATTAGTACTAACACCGAATAAGACTATAAATCCGCAAATACTAGCAAAAGTTTACGGCAGTAAAACAAAAAACAATGCACTCGAAACAGATGAAAATGGGTGGCACAAGAAGTGAGGATGTGCTAAGACTAGCCTAGACATGGGAACTATAAAGACCGATTAGTGAACTTAGTCAAAACCACAGTTAACTATTAACGCAGATAAGAAGAAAAGTAATCCGCCGAGCATTAAGCTCAGAACGGATTCTTTGAACTAAAAATTGTCCTTTTGTTGCGGTAGGACACAGCAAACGTTTAAGAAATGCAAATCACGTCAGAAACAATATTCCCGCTCGTAAAATGCAGTGCATCGGAATCAGACAGCTGCCTTCAAGATTTAAATGTTAGCGACCAATATCTTTCCGGAGACCACACACCCAGCTCACCACCACGATCTAGACTAGGAAGACGACGTCAGTCAATTTTCTATGCTTCATTTCAAATAAATTTATGCTTTAGGTCTAAATATGACAACTATCAATCTGAATTTTAGCTGTATAGTCACACATGCCGAAGATCTAATACGTAGAGGTAAGTGTACATTTCTTGGTCACTGTAACCATCATAGATTTGTTTCGAAAGAGCAGTAGTTGAACAAGGAACTACAGTTTTATCAGGAAAACTGAGCTAAAACCTAATACTAACAATAGCTTTGGAATCACAGTCAGCTGGATGTGTCAGCTGCACAGATCAATCTACAACAGGTGGACTGGGAAGTCCACCCTCAACTTGATATGAACGCTCACTGAGACTTCTTACATCACTGGATCCTATGTGCTACAGAACGGTCTGTCCACAAAGCAGTCCCTGAAAGTTGCAACGAACATACAGTCATCAATGATCACACGCTTCGACTGCCAAGACGCGAAGTGCACGAATAGGTGGGATGTAAACGAACTTGCAACAACAATAAAAACAGGTAGTGCAAACAAGCAAATAGCCAATGCACAAATTCACTAAGAGAATACAGGCTTTAGTGTCAGATAAAGTTGGTTAATAAATTCGTCCCCGATTTGGAGAGCTTATTCCGTCATGCAGCCTTACTTCAACAAGTCAACTCTGAGTTTCCCAGTTGTTGAGTCCTAATGGCCCAACCAACAGCGAGGGTGATTCAGAACATAATTTTAGACATTTCAGCCGTTCCATACTAACTGCATGGACAAGATTTCCTGCTGCAACTCAACAGGACACTCAGAAAGGAACCTGAGTCCTGACTCCGTGTATCAGAAACTGCAGCACCCAAACAAGGACATTTCTCCTGATCCCGATATGGTCCATCCTGCTATATTAATGAAAGCAGCTTAATCTTGGCAACACCGCGTTACATCCTCAAATTCTCTAAGCCCAGATACATTACCAGAAAATTGGAAGCTGGCCCGCATTGAGCCAATTTTCGGAGTGAGTCGACGCGGTGAACGTTCGAGCTAACCAATACTAGCACTCCTCTAATTACCTTCGGAGATTATGGAGTCCATGATATGCGACGATATAAACGACTATTTATTATCCATAAACCAAATATGTCTTATCAACAAGCTTAAACGATTAGGTATCAAGTCACCTCTAACTGATTAGCTTACTTTGTATCTAGAAAATCGACACTTAAAAATCAGGGTTAACTTCACTTTCAGGCCATAGAATTTTCTAGTGAGGTCCCCAAGGGTTCGATACTAGAACCTCTTCTTTTCTCAACTTGCGTAAGGGATCTTCCATAATAGGTGTCGTCAGAATGATTATTTTTTGCTGAAAATGTGAAATTCTGGAAAGAAGTTTGCAACCAAGATCATAAGCCGGAACTTCTGGAGGACCTGACTTGACTTCAAAGCTGAGCAAACAACAGCGCGATTACCTTTAACACTTCAAAGTGCGAAATACTCCACCTGAGACATGTTGCAGATTACGCATACAACGTAGGTAACTCCTTACCAGAGGTATCTCATGTTGAAAAATGATCTAGGAATGTTGGTACCCTATGATCTGGAATCTTACGCCCACTGCGACACCGTTTAGAGTATGGAAACAAAGTGTTTCCTCTCTCACTCCAAAAGGATAAAGACACATTAGAAGATATTCAACGGTGAGTCACGAAATCATTTCGGGGACCAAAATTCAAGTCTTATAAAGAGCTTCACTGAACATTGAGCATTCAGAGTACAGAAGTCGTAGAGGTGGCTTTCTAATGACATAC